TTGGAGGTGCGGAGCCCTTCCAGCCAGATTGGGGTGAAGAGTGGTAATCTCAAAGCTAATTACTATTCCATTTAATTAGCAGCCATGGCTTCAGTTGGGCAGAGGGAAGTGTTGTTATAGAGGGAAATTGTTGTTTTGCCAGAGGCAGAAGCTGTTGCTTGTCCCTTAGCAGCAAAAGCAGCATGAATCTAGCTTTAAACCAGTGGCTGTAACTAGCCATTGGAAAGACGCTTGTTAGTTCTGCTGATTAAAAAGTAATTTACTGTAATTTATTTTCATTTGGTTCCCCAAAAGGATGGGGGAAAGAAGTAAGTACTCTTATAAAGAGGTGTCATAATGCAAGTCCATGGTGAAGCAAATCAGGGATGTACAGGCAATATTTACCTTTATATATTCTGGCTTCTTAGTGTTTGAGCTTGAACCTTACTGTATTGTTCTTTTGATCCTTATGCAAGTTATTTATTTAGATTTGTTTATATACAAACCTTGCAGTAGGTTTCTTCAAGTCTGTAATGCTCTTCCAGCTCTAGTTAAATTATTTGTTCTGCTCACTTTCAGTCACTTGAAAGAAATGGCCCTTTTTATATTAACAATGAGGCTATTTATATAATGCTTTCATTGCAAAGCATTTATATCACAAAGTGAGTGCTATACCCATCAGTGCAACTCAGCTTTCTACTACTTATTAATACAGCTAAAATATAGAACTGGACTTGTAAACCTACTGACTATGTTTCTGTATAAAGTCATGGAATGGTTTAAGCACACAGACAGGGGCTATCTAATTAAAACTACTGCAGGAAGCCAAACAGAACTAAACTATTGAAAAAGGGATTTGAGTGAGTCACAATAATTAATACTTGTGTCAGTTAAGTTTCTGTGTTATCAGAAGAATAGCACCATTTCTTGTATTCCCTGGAATTTTATTTTAGTATGGGCAAAAGGAAGATCTTACTGACTTACCTATTCTCTGTATACTAATTGTTGTTTTTTGAACCTGTTGCCCAAATACCAGTTTCTGCAGTGTAACAGGAACACAGCCCACAACATGACGGCTGCAGACTGAATTTGACCTTTTGTGAATAACAGCCTTGCATTGCTACAACATATTCTGATGCCTTTCTGGGAAATATTTCTGGGATGCCTCTTCGTAAACATTCTTTATAAATGTTAACCAGACTGATATTTGTGGAGTGTATACCCTTATACTGTCTGGTCCAGTGATAATACAGATTTTCTTTTTTGATTCTACAGATTTTCTGTTGTGGAGAAAGACTCAAAAGGCTGTGGGTTTTGGGTTTTTTTTTAGTTTGCCGAGAAGCTGAAGGGTGAAGTAGAAAAGACAATGGCTTTTTGTACTAAAACTCTTGAAAAGCTTTAATCACAATTCTGGTTCACTTCAAGACACCAAATCTTATCTTAGCCTTTTATATAGGAGCACCAGTGCACAGGATTTCTAGCTCTGGCATCTCCTGGTGTGGAGTATTTGCTCTAGCTAGCAGGTGAGGAGATACGGAGTGAAAATGAACACTGAGCCTGAATGAAATTGAAATCTTGGGACATTCCTGTTACTAAAACCTTTTAACTATCTTATCTCTCCACAAAAAATGGGACTAACACCTAGGTGAAACTACCTGTAGGCATCTGCATTTTCTCACAATGAAATTTTTCAGCCTGGAGCCCTCTGAGAGGTAAATTGGGTTTGAGGGTTTTTTTGGTTGGTTGTTTTGTTGGGTTTTTTTGTTTGTTTGTTTGTTTTTTTCATCTCTGTTGCTAAAGAGTCCCAGGAAGGGATGTAGCAGGAGAAGGCAGGCATTTATTAGAAAGCCGACTCAAAAAGTTACCCACAAACTAACTAGCAACTTCTATAATTAAGATTGCATTAGCAGAATAAACCCAGTTCAAGGTGTCTCTTCGTAAGAATGAGGAATTCCGGAGAGAGTCGTATTGCAAAGTGAGTCAGTACTGAAGTTGATAACTTGCACAGTAAATCAAGTAAAACTGGAGATTCTGGAAACTTTTATGCCTCACCTAGTTAAAGAAACTTCAATGCACATAAAAAAATACATGGAAAATTTCTTACAGAAATTTCCTATTGTAGTACATTCTAGTAAAATATTAAAACTCAAAAGTAACCATATAGCTTTTGTTCTTTCTTCTGTAAATGCGGGACCTTCATAATATAACTTTTCAAGCATTTATGGGTTACACAGTATTCAAATAGCTAAAGCTGAGGCCTGAAGGCATTGCTATGATAATCCTACATGAATGTCTTCTTTCTTGTGAGTTTCTGCATGAAGGCCCAAATTCCCAGATGAAAAAATAGAAGGTAAGTATTCTAATATTCCTCGGCCAGGATCTATAATCTTTATTGGAATGATAGCATACATTATAGTGAAAAACTGTGTTACAACATGCGTTAAGTAAGATCTGTAACTGAGATCTCACACCAAAAATCATATATGATATATAATATGGTTCTCATCTGTTGGTGATATTAATCTAAGCAAACATAATGTAAATGTTCTATAATGCCTCATTTCCCTTTAGGCATACTTCAGTATACAAGGCATAGCAGCTGGCTGGATACAAAGAACATTGCTGCTTAAGTAAGATTTCATTTGGCTTACACCCCTGGACTTAAGTGCTACATTTGCAGCTTCCCTTGTAGACTTGATCCTGACTTCACATGAACTACAAATACACATAACCTCATCTATACCCGTCACGCTTTCACCCCAGCCAGCAGCTAAGTGCTGGGCAGCCACTGGCTCGCTTCTCCACAGTGGGATGGGGAAGAGAACTGGGGAAAAAGGTATAATGTGAGTATTTGCACCTTCCTGTCTGGTTTCCTCTCTGCCCATTCTTCATAGTAATATGCTTGATTTAAATTCATTCCTTCCAGTCTTTATAATGTTTCATTTAATTTTACCTTTTCTCTCTTGTCGTCCCCCCCCCCCCCCTTCTTTTTAGTGTCTTCTCTTTGGTTTTGTTTATCTTCTTTCCTCCAGTACAGTTCTGCCTCTCCTTCAAAATGGCTTATCTCCCTTTCATGCTGCTTCACACATTGTTGCTGTTCAGAACAGCAACAGAACAGGACCTTGTGACAGAGCTCCTTTGTTTTGTTGGGTTTTGGTTTGGATTTTTTTTTGGTCAGAGAGATGCAAAAGGCAACTCCTTAGTTTTTCAGAGCAAACTCATATATTCAGACTTTGTTATGAACAGTTCAAACTAAATTCAAGGTCAGAAAGTCTGCAGCTAACAGAGCTAATTTCCCACATCATTTAACCTTTTTAATATGTATTTTTCCACATTTGCCTATACAGAAATGAATACGCTCTTACTGATGGTAATCTTGCTTGGATTTTATTTATAAAACCATTTTATTTGTATGAACTTTCATTATAGGAAAATGGATTTTTATTACCGGAAAAAAGGGGATTATGTTAATTTATTTATATTATTTCAGTAATAATGTAATAACTGTTAATTATTGGAATAATTTATTGTGGGGAAAAGCAAAAAAAGCCATGGTTAATGGATTGAACAGGTTGTATTTAATCCGAAAAGGGAGCATACTATAATTTCTAATCTGGCATTTTGTCCTGTGTTCTGTGTAGAGTAAAATATGTTACTGAAACCTTTAAAATCTTCCTACTAAATATTATTTATCAAATAATATTTATTAATTATTAACTATTATACTATTAAATCTTATACTACTGTGCAAAAGAGACCTCAGAAAATTTCCTGACAAGCTGTAGCTTATCATCCCTTCCCTGCGTCACTGAGAGCAGCAAGAAATTTTACACAAGGAAGAATACTGACTGCAATTCTGATGGTGTGGGAGGCGGCCACAAGGTAATGCAGAACTTGCCTGTAGTTAACGATCTTGTAAGTAGGGAGAGGCCTTGTTGGTACCTGTCACTGAAGTTGTGCTTGTCATTTGGCAGTTTTAAAAAGAATCTCTAGAGTACACCTGCAGTTACATACCAAATCATTTTATAGATCATGTCACTCTGCAGGGCTTATACACAAACAGTACTGGAAGTCAAAGGTTGCCCTTGAAAACTAATCTCGACATTCAATCATAGGTAAACTCTAAGTGAACTGACACTAGCCTTTGAAAACATACTTTGAATTTCTGATAGTATCTTTGTTCTTCAAGACATTTTATAAACTATTCTGTTTACAAAGATGACAAATTAGTAAGATCCAGTCAACTCCAAGGTAGAAAGAAGTAATCGCCTATCAAGGCGTAACTAGAAGTTCCACTGTTCATGTAGAAGGAATTTTATCTCAATTGACAGTGCAAATCAGCTTCCTGCTATGAAAAAAATGAAGAAATTAGTATCTTTAAGATACTTTTCAGCAAGCCCAATAAACTTTCATTACCAGTTTTACTTGCTTTCCTTCAAACCAGCAGGTTCTGGCATAACGTAAACTAGGATTTACTTTATATTTACTTTATCATAACTTATTAAAAAAGCAAGATGTGAATAGTAAATCAACATCACATCTCCGTGCATAGAAGCACAGACTAATAAATCAGATGTGTTGCCCCTTTCAGCCAAAACCCACCAGCTGCATTTCTTATCCTGATTACATCACTTTGAGTAGTATTTCCAAAGTCTGCAAGAAAGCCCAAAATAAACAACCAAATTAACTTATTGTTTAGTAACTTAACACTTAAGAAAAAATTCTTAACTTCCTATAATGTGAAAGAGAAATCTCAGGTTGAATAAGCAGTAAGATTCTGTAATGATTATATTTTTAACTGTAGCAACAGTACTTGCCTTTCTTTATTCCTTCTTGAAAGAAACTCCTTCCTATTTCAGAGCTTGCAGGTTTCAACACACTGCAGCATCTTCCTCTCGCTGCCACTTTTGTTACCAAACTTTATGATGCTTTTCTTGTAATGGTTTTTGCTTGTCTCTTTCATATATATTTGAAATACAAGGAAATATAATAGAAAATAATGTTGTTACCTCTTGTTGTATGTTTGGAAGAGCATGGCAAACCTCCTTTTTGATTGTATTTTATATGGTTACTTTTGTACCTTATTTGATTGGCAAGTGATGACATTCTTTGTCCTTAGTGACTTTCCTAACCCCTCAGAAAAGAATCCAGAGCTTATGTAATTTATTATTATTGGGAACACTGTTGGGGTTTTAAAATAATAGTTGTTGTAGTCTAAGGATATAGAAGAAGCAAGACTTCTAGGAAAAGGTAATAACATTTAGCAGAGGAATTGATTCAGACTGAGAAATGGAAAAGCTTTCAAGGGCCTTTCCTCACAAATGTTTCCTCTCATACGACTTTTTAAATCTGTGTGAAACAAGGAAGGGTATTAAGTACTGTAAATCTACAGGATGGGTCTGACCTTGAGTCTCAGGCACAGGAAAATATTTAGCAAGTCTTTGTGACTCCTATCTACAGCTGAAAAAATATTATGAGTTATTCAGCAAATTATTTGGTAATACATTCTAATGCTATTACAACGCAGTGTCAAATGGCATTCCAAGCTGGATTTCACACATAGCTACTGGGGCTTAACTAGAAGAATATCATCTGCTGCTTCTAAAACATCTTTGACCTTCAGGTTTAGTAAACCCTGAATGAAATACCTAGCTGACTGACTGGCAGGAGCGAAGGGTGCAAGGCAAAGAGCTAAAAGCATCGCAGAGCTTCGCTAACTCAACCAGACTTTGGGTTTCAGGTGAGTTACGTTTTTTTATCTCCTTTCCCATTCTCTCTAATCCTATTCTCCATCTTCCTTATCACTATAAGCCTCCAAATCCTTGTGAAGTGTTCTAAGGGACACTGCAATATAGTAATGTAAGAAAATATGACAAAATGACAAGAGATGTCTTAGGCAGTATTACATGGACAGTTCACAAGGAGACGATGTTCATATGCAAATTGGAAGTTCGTGAAGTCAGCGCAGCCAGCACAACTATTCCTGCCAAAACTAATAGCGAATATGGAGTAAAAACAGTGGGGTTTTGTTTTATCTGCAAAACTGGCCATCCTCACCAAAATTCTTTTATTTAATTTTTTTTTATTTAACTCTTTTTTATGAAACTATACTGTTATGTCGATACAACACTAACATTTAATGAACAAAAAAGAACAGTCAAATCTACCATTCAGGCATGCAAAACCTGTGAATACTGACTGCATCCCAAACCAATTGAAGTGACTGACCAGAGAAAACAAGAAAATCTTTTAAGATCTGTGTTTGGGAAGCTTAGAAATATGCAAAATCATATAATGTTTTGGATTGGAAGGGATCTTAATATCATCTTGTTCCATCCCCTCTGCCATGGGCAGGGGGGACATCTTCCACAAGACCAGGTTACTCCAAACCCTGTCCAACCTGGCCTTGAACGCTGCCAGGGATAGGGGCAGCCACAGCTTCTCTGGGCAACCTGTTATGCCAATAAGAACTTCAAGTCTTCAAAAGTCTGTAAGACAGTACCATGAGTAGTTTTGAAAACCCCAGTTAAGAGATTAATATCAGAGAATGGTGCATTTGCAACACAGTTTTGCAACTGGAATTTGGGTGTAAGCAATTAAAAGAGATTAAAAACTAACAACCCTCCTCCCTCCCCCCCCAAAAAAAAAATCCCAACCAAACAAACAACCCCCCCCCCAAAAATAAAAAAACCCAAAAAAAACCCAAAAAACCCCACCCAACCAAACCAAAACCCCAAACCAAAAAGAGAAGCACTTTGAAGAAGAGAGCTTTGGTTATTTGCTCTCAAAAGTGAATTGCAAGTAAAGGGCTGCCCTGCTGTCACTGCAAGTCACACCATTAGCCCCTGATCATGCCTCCATCAATCCAGGCAACCAAGCCCAGCGTACTGTAGAGCCACAGAAGGTAACTGCAGTCTCTTTTTGCTGCTTATTTATCTTTTCATGTGAGCTTTGTTCTGCTTTCTCCTTACCCTAATAGTAATTTGTCACTTGAATGCTGTCAGCTGTTTTCACAGCACTACCACCACTGATCTTCAAGTTTATGGGCTCCCTTTCTCCTGGAGCCGAGAGGAGGTTCTTCTGTTCTATAGAGACTCCCAGCGGACTCATTTGTACGAGCAGATCAACGGGCGGGAACCGTTCCCGGGCGGACTCCTGCTCCGGGGCAGCTGTTTCCCAGCCGGTGGGAAAAGCTGTGGGAGGGGATGGTCCCGCAGCGCCGGCCGCACCAGGTCTGGGTTGCTGGTACGGACCGTCGGTGCCGCTGTCTGGTTCCAGAGAGCGTCCGGCGTGGGACGGATGGGGGAAAGTGGTTTTACCTTTGCCTGGCGCTTCCTTCATATTGAACTTTCTGGGGTGTTTCCTTGTATTAAACCGTCTGGGAAAACCGTTTTATTCAGCGCTTTGAGCTGACTTGACGTTTCAGTCAGTGAAAAGAGCTGTTATTTCATGGGTGGATGCTGAAATAAAATTTTCTTGACCAGGAAGAAAAATATGCAATTAGAATTTGGTCTGAACTTCCTGTGTTTGGAGTACAGTCCCAGCTCCCATTCAGTGCCTCCAGGCATTCCTGGATTACAGTGGGGCCAGAGCCTTGGGTAACACGGTCTTGTGTGATGAATCCGTGCCCATAGCAGGGGGATTGGAACTAGGTGATCTTAAGGTCCTTTCCTACCCAACCCATTCTGTGATTCTATGATTTCCAGGCTGCCACAAGGAAAGGTTTGAAAAGCTAGTGCACACATCTTTTGTTAGCCCAGTGTGCCTTAAAAGGAAACCAGTGCTGAACGCTGGTGCCCCAGACCTGTTTTTTCTAGGCATGCTCACTGAAGAATGTTTATTGAATGTTTATTGTACCTAATAAGGGAATATTCAAGACGAGTCACAGTCGCTCAGTATTCAAAGGGATGGAGAGATTCGAACTCGATCATCTGTAGCCATTTAGCCATTACTAAATGATACTTGCTGCCACTTATTTGCACAGCTCCTGCTGCCAGAAAGCAACTTAATAACTTTTCATATATAAAGGAATCTTGTTCTCTAGATTTTGAAGTGATTTGCTCTAGATAGGTTATTGTTCTGAATTTTGAATGTGCTGACATTCTTCAGATGATGGTGGAGCATCTTTGTAGGATACTGTTGGTGAAGGAAGGGAGCATGGAGAAGATAAGGAAAGCTTTTTCTACTTGAGAAGACATTCTGGGTGCATCTGCAGAAGAGATCTGTTGTTTTCCTCAAAAAAACCCTATATGCTGATGAACCTCTGTCACAGGGTGATAGTTTTCTTTTTTGTTTTTTGTTTCTCTCCAGTCTCCAACCATAGGCCTCTTGCTTCCAAACTAGGTTCTAGCATGTGAACCTGAGAGTTGGTAAGTGGGCTTACACGCTGCAGGGTCTGGCAGAATTCTTATTTGAGGGATTAGGGTCTACAGCCTGCAATGTCCACAACCACAAACTAAGATACGGTTCAAAGCTAAACAAAAAATACATCCTCATAAAAACTAATCCAAATAATTAATGTAATATGAAACTTGGGATTTCTAAGTAGCCAAACGTTGTAGCCAGGTTCTCTTGCCAAGATGCAGTCCTTCTTGTGCTTTAGACATAAGACAGTAGAGATGATACAGAAATAAGGTTTTATTTAAAATACTTGCAAAGAAAAAACTCATGTTATGTGGTCAGGTGGAGCAGCCAGGTTGCTGCCACAGGGCCTCTCACCATCAAGTGTTGCAGAAGTCTGTCTTCCACAAATATGGTCGAATCAAAAATGAATTCAAGAAATGCATTAATCTGCTTAAAATTAATTTTTAGTGGGTACAACAATTTTTATCTTGAATAAAGACACAAGTATTTCTCAGCTACATGGATAACCTATCTCCATTAGCTTAAAAATGTCAATTGTCTTAAATGGAGCTTAAATGGAGCTGTTGTAGGTTTACACTCATACTTTTGTCAGCTTGGTTTCTGTTAGTGTTTCCCTTAACTGGGATATGACATACAGAGTCTCAATTTTAAAATACTTGATAAAAATAAATAGAAAATGCCAACAGTAATACATCTGGGCTTAATTTTGGCCTTTTTAAAGGTAGAAGCATTAAGAATTAGACTTGTTTTACTTGGATTCATCAGAATGATCAACAATTGAACAGAAATCCAGGTAACTTATGTTACAAAGGTTATACAAAAGTGACTCTTAAGGAAACTCTGAGAATACAGTGGAAATACATCCCTAAAAATTGGATACGAGAAGAACATCATGCTTGAAACCTTGAATCCCAGAAATCCAGCAGTAAGTTTCTCCACTGAGTGCTTCATAGTTGGTTAAGCACTTTGTAAACTGAACCAGTTTGTGCTGAATGTAGCAGGAGGGCATGGGGATTCTCAGCAATGCATCCTGTGTAGGCATTAGCTAGCAACCTTATCTACATGTCTATTAATTGCTTTGGCTAAGGCCATTTCATGTAAAACATTACGGTTTCAGCTAGATGGTTTCAGAGGATTGTGAAATAAGAGGTGTTATTTCCATATTACATCCATATTACCAGATTAACAGGAATCGGAAATCTGTAGTTTTGCAAGTCAAGGGTGTTACTAAATCCTTGACTGGTACAGTGACATCACTGTACGATTTAAATGCATTTTCACTTCTTTGCAAAGTAACCATAAAGGCCAGACTTTCTCAACAGTTGTTGTGCTAGCTTGTGTGGTGAATACTGACGTGGAACCAAATACACCTCGGAGAGTCATCTGTGGTCAGCAACACCTGAACAGTGGGCAGGATGAACCCTTGATCTGAACAAGCACAAATGTTCTTATGGTTGGTCTCCTAAAGTGAAAACATATGAGAATAAATATGACTGCTTTTCCCCGAAATCCAGAAATTTGTTTCTTTGAAATACTGTGACCTGTCTCTTTGAAACAGTTGTGCTTACTTTCCATCAGACGTGTATTAGGTAAATGATTGGACAGTCCTGTTTTCAAAAATTCATTTGAAATGGTGTTTGGCAAGCCCAGTGGACTGAAAATCAGTAATTAATTGTCAAGTTACAGTTTTACATCTGCTGCTTAGAAAGCTTTGAGCTGAGAATTTCCATGGTTTTAAGTGGAATAAAAACTGTGCATTGTAGCCTTTTCTTTTTTAGAGCTGTAAACGTGTTGCATATGTAAAGATTGAGAGTGACACGAGTTGCCCTGTGGGCACTTCCACACTACTAAAACTGTTCCAGAAGCAGCTGCAAGTTTTCTCTGCCTGTGCTTCAAGCCACTTGGACCAAGCTCTTAGTGAAGCCTCAACAGAGGTAACATTTGAATCTCTCAGAAATTACTTGTGTCATACCCACAACTCTCCTCTAGTTGCCTTTAAAGTGAAGGGCTTTCTGTTCTCATCAGCTGAATAGCAGTTAGGCAGCTGGAGGTTGAACTCCTCAGGGCTCTGTCAGCACAAGGCTGCTTACAAGCTTTGATGCAGCTTCCCAAGCCATCAGAAGTGTTGTGTCACAGTTATAGAACTCGTGTCATGATAACTTGCGTATTGTACACCTTTCCTATGAGTATTTGTTTGCTTTTGTCAGCATGTTGAGATCATACAGGGAGAAAAGGATGCAATAGTAATGTACCAGCAAGGACATATGACATACATATAAACAGGGGCTGACTTGTTTGCAGTGGGTTTCTATGGAAATAGTTTAAATCCAAACAGTATGCTGCCAATTCTTTCAGCAAGCAGATAATGGATAGTCTCAATGCAGTAGAATTAAATCCAGTTAGTCTGTAAGTATGTATCTGGATACAATTTCTAGTATGCAAGTTTTACCTAATTTTAACTACTCCAATCATTGAGCACCACATTAACTGTTTGGGGTTTTTTTCTAAGGTGGTGTTACTTCACATACCACTGAATTGTCTCAGCACTAAAATGATAAAATTACCAACCCAGTTGCCAACACTGGTAATCATCTTGGATTTTCTAAGCTGCCTCTTACCTCAGTGTCTGCACGAGAGCATCTTCAGGGCCATATTGTTTTGACACTGACACATTTGTATCTGGCAGTCCTGGAGGGTTGATTCAATCAGGTATCTGTGCTTATGTTCCCCATGGATTTGATCTGTTACGCCTGCTGAGGTCACATCACACCAAAATGACGAGGTACAGGGAGGAGAAGTGGCGAGTCTGTCACATGACCCTTCTGTCTGAATCATGGTATGTCAACTCTTTACTCCCCGGTCACAAAAACACCTTCTGCTTGTTCTCTAGTATGTATGTGTACAGAATGAAGAGCTTAGAAGTAAGGTGCATGCTTCTTTCTGGACTAATTACTGAGATGGGTCAAGTTTTTGTGGTGTGTGGGGTTTTGTGCCTGTTCTGAAGGAGGTAAAGACCTGAAGACATTATGCCAAGAAAAGTGATCTGACATAGCGCATGAACGCTGTATTCCTCTCTCCTAAACCCATACTTGGCTTTTTATATGCGGTGCAATTGCTAAGGATATCAAGTATCAGTTCTCAAGGCTTGATCTGTGTTTTTTTTTTTTTTTTTAAGGTAAAAATCAAAAGCAAGACCAGCCTGAATATAGACCACACTCATCCTTTCCCTTTGAGAGACTGTATTTATGCATACATTCCTTCTGAAAGTGAAGTCTTTTAGTGGCAGCACTAAAAGACTCTCACCTCTACAATTTGCTTATCTAGTCAACATGAATGTGCGTTTTTGAGAAGTGATAGTCATGCTATTTTGAATGCTGATGGATCAACTCAGAACACAAACTGTTGCTTCAAGTTGCAGCAAAATGAATCAGATGAGCTATTTATGACACTGATTACTGCAGTTATTTATGCCTACGTAACTCCTTATCCTGTGCCTGCAGTCAGACCCAGGGTAGGAAATCACATTCCCTCCTTTGGTGAGGGCAGCTTATGCCTAGCATTGGCAGTTCTGTCACTGCAGTCACTGCTGCACTGAGACTTGTACAACAGCTTCCCCTGACCCAAGTGCCACTTACTTGTATGCTGAAAAGTAGATGATGCGTAAGTAAATGGGTTATTTTAATTCCTAACGTACACCATAAGAATGTAGGAGTGCCTGGTTTTGGTTTCCTCCACCATCAAAGAATCTTAGGGATGGGACTGCTTTGTAGCTACTTCAGGGTTTAAAATACAGTCAAAAGGGACAGACCTTGAAACTTGGCTGTTCCATTTACCGGTTAAATTAAAGAGTAACTTGTTCAAGGCCCTGTTACTATTACCTCAGCACTGTGAAAGAGCTAACTGTACAAAGTGGTATGTTAAACCATCTTTGCCAATTCTACTGGGGGTGGCTCTTTAAAAAAAAATAAAATAAAAAAAATATATATATATATATAAATGGAAGACATTTACTGAAAAAAAAACCCCACTTGTTGACCATTTCTTATCCTGTGTAATGATGGTGATAAGACATTTCTGATGATGGCATATACTCCCTTAATAAAATACTTAAAGCTAAATAGACCACTGCTGTATAGTAGCTAAGATGTACCTTTCACCATTCTTCAGACCATTCAATTCTTTGCTGTATTTTCCTATTTCAGCAAATGGTTAAATAAGCACAAACCAACCCAAACTTCAGTATTTGAAATACAGTGTCTGATGTAGCTTGAAGAGTTCTGAAGTATCACTAGAGGCTGCTCTTCTGTTCATCCTTCCGACTACTATAAGTATTTCCACATTTGTCAATGGAGCCTGAATTAAGGGGCTGATGCTAACTCATGACTTACAAAGCAAATTTTATTTAATAGACTATGGCAGTAACATTACTATTTGACATACATCTGTCTACAATATAAGTGGGCACACTTACATTGTTGAAACATTCCCAGAGGAACATTATTACTGCTCACATCATTCCTTTCTATGCAGCAACCCCACCTGACCAGACACCAGTTGTGTGCAACAAGCACAGTATCAGTGGTACATTACAAAGTAGATGTCTGCTGTACTGCTTATACACAAGGAAGCTAGTATATGAACATAAGATCTAATTATGAACAACCATAAACCAAATGAAGCTCTTCAGCATACACTGAGGTGAAACATAAGCCAGATGAAGGGATTCAGCCTCTCTCAGTGTTCCACAACCAACTTCATTAACTTGGCTCCCTGGATGAAGCATGGCCATCAAAATAAACTGGGCTTCACTGGGATAACTAGGTAATAACAGTCTTAACTGCAAACCAACAGACTTTTTTTCTAAGGCTGTTTTATTCCTTCCACTTTTGGGTGGAGTGAAATACCTCACAGGTGAAATATCTCCAGGCTGCATACTGCTTATAGAGATGTATTATGTGCTTTTGTAAAGTAACTAGTATTTTCATAGGGTTGCAGCAGAAGACTGAAGTCTTACTGGCCAGAACAGGAATAACCTGAGATAATGGGCAGATTACAGTAACTTGTTTTAAGAAACAGAAAATAATCCTATCTGAAGGCAAATGGATGGAGCTTCAGTACAGAAAAGCCAGACTGCAAAAGGTCTTGACCAGTGGTAGTGTGTGTCTAAGCAGTGCACTGGGGATACGGCTAAGCAGGTTACTGTTCATCAGAAAAGCGAGAGGCTTACCTGCACTTCAGGAACAACATCTGGCACTCTATTGTTAACAGAACTGTATCAATGAATAACAGTTACTTCAGCATTCTAGAAAACTGCTTCATTTGAAAGGGAAAAGTTTGTCTAACAACCTCTAACGGCCACATGCAGATTCAGCTTTGTAACAGGCACCTGTAAACACAGTTGTTGTCACCTGGCTGCGCAATCATCCACACCTTATACTGAACTGTGTTTGTGCATCTCTGTTCCTTCCTGGTCATCAGTGTCTGCATACTCTGTAAGATCCAAAGTCAGGACTCGACTGACCATAATGTCATCGTGCTAAAAGGAGGAAAGATCATACAATTGAAAACACTTCTGTCATTCGAAAAAAGCATTTCATAAATTACTGTGAGATGCAATAACAAGCTTGAGTTATCAAAACGATCTTTACATCAAGCCAGCACCTGCATTTATTTCTGAACATACGGTAGTTCAGATCCAGCGACACAACTACATACATGATTCACTGTAGTAACAAAGTGTAAATCAGTACTTCAGTGTGTATTATTTAACAAAAGTTGGTAATAATTAATTGTTACCTCTGGACACACTCCAATCAATGCGTCTGCTTTGGAATAAAACTCTTCCTTTAGAGAAATAACTATCATTTGTAACTGCTCATGTGCCTGCTCTCTAATGAAACTTGATACCTTTGGGAAGAAGCCAAATATTTCAGTAAGTTAGCTCTGGCAGACTTAAAACCATGCTGTAATTAGGGAATGATGAAGGAAGAACTAAACTACATTAGCTCCAGAATTCAGTAACTCAGTTAGGAAGCAGGATAAAATGAGAAATAAAATAGTCTTACAACAGACACTTTGTATGTTCCTAAGACAACCCCTCACATTTGCTTTGTGAAAATGCTCAAGAAAATAACCATTCACTCCAATGAGTAAAGGTACAGAAAAAGGCCAGTGTCAATGCAAAATATTGCACTTCACAGAACAATAAAGAAAGGTGGAAATTCCTGAACAGGAAAAAAAAAAAGCGTGAAAAGATTGTTACTGGCAGTATACTAAGGTCCTCAATATGTATTAGTTCACTGCATACAGCATCATTTTTTTCAATTACCTGCAAAATAAAGGACAAACATGAACTGATAAATTGATGACTGAATAAGGCAGTGTCCCACAATATAAATTAAATGCTGAATGAAGGAAAACCTGTACATTTTTAATGCAACTTTTGCCTGCACTGTTATATTGATGTGATATAGAAATCATTTTCTTAATGGAAGCACTTTCTTTAGGGAGTTACATAATTCACATGCATTTTACAGTGCAATAACAAGTAAATTATTGGAGATCTGCTTCAATATAAACTGTAAGAATGGGCAGAAAAAGACTCAGGAAGTTGTGAATGCCCCATCCCTGGCAGTGTTCAGGACCAGGCTGGATGGGGCTTTGAGCCACCTGTGGCAGGGTGGCTGGAACTGGATGATCTTCAAGGTCCTTTCCAACCCATACCATTCTGTGATTCATAAAACCTGGATACCAGTGAGTACTAGCAACATATACACCATGCATCCTTTTTGCTCACTTGCAGTATTTAATTCCTCTGTCTGAAGGCTCTGGTACTTTCCACTAACAACTGTATCTCAGAGATAAGGAACAAGATATGAAAGACTCCAGACGCAGGGAAAAATTAATTATACCTGCAGATCATGGCAATTTTGCTTTTGCTCATTCTGCAACTTAAAACACTTATCACACATGCTCAAATAATAACGTGATTCTCTTTATAAGAATCCCTAGATAAGCACTGAAGCCAATTCAAGGAATTTTCTAGGAAACAGATGTTCTGTCAACATCTCCTGCATGGAGAGAGCGCAGCTGCTCTCCAAGCACATTACTACCTGTATCACACACTGTTGATAGGAAAAGAGCAGCTCTGTTTGTCATTCTGCCCCAGCCCCTCTGCACTGCACCTGGCCAGGGCAGAGGACTGCAGAAGGACAGTAATCCAAGCACCACCCAGGGTGGTGCAGCTGGTGTGGATGAGTGGCTCTAGCCAGGATGATCACAGAACAGGCAAAAGCACAATTCAACCTGAAAGCAGGAAGCAGGTTAGCTGGGCCCCAAGGACTCAATGAAAGGCCTTATACAGACAGTACTAAGGCAATTTCAGGGTTAACCCTGATATGTAATATAATCCAAGCTTAACTGCTCTTTGGCCATGAAGTATTATTTATAGATGGTACTTTTCTAAATATACATTAGACCAGAACTTAAAATACTTAAAACTTCTGCATTGATGTGCTTTATTTTCTTGGATATACATCTTATAAACATACAACTTGCCAATGTACCATTTCTATTCTATCATAATGCTTTGTTGCAGTGAATAGTTGTTAGCAAAAAGAGGAAGAGAAATTAAGAGGAGGACAGAAAGGTATTTTAAGCAAGCAAGAATTCATGTGGCCAAACCAATGGGAATGATAGCTCCCCACTGGTTTTAATGTGTAGTTGGCCAATTAGATAAGAGCAATACTTCAGTGATAGAATGACTTGATTCCAACAGGCACATACACTCTTTAATACTTCTTAGAGGTAGAGGGAACTCAAAGGCCTTAAAGATTCCAACTGAACCAACCCACCAGCACTTCACCTGTGACCTTCCTGTCAGACTGTACCACACATGGCACAACGTGGCATGCCTCCAGACTCCTGACCCATTTTTCTCAACTTCAAAGCTTGGGAACTAAGTACACACTTAGATTTTTGAATTTAAATCTAGCCCTACTCTAAACTCAGTATATTTTAAAACAGGTTAAGACAGCGTGACCAATCTCTTTACACCAACAACCTATAATGAAAAGTAGCCATCCTTATACAAAAGGATAGCACTATATTGTTTATAGAAAAGATAAAGTGAAAGGGACCAACTTACTTTATCAATGTTTGTGTTATCCAGGGCTGCATCTATCTCATCTAAAACAAAGAAAGGTGCTGGCCGAAAACTGTAGAAAAAAAGATAGTAGTTTGCATTTAGATGCAAAAAATGTTAATGAACATTCTAAGCACTTTACAGATTTCCCTTACTTTATCATAGCATTTTGGTAAGAAGTAATGACAAGTAAAGAATAAGGACTTCAATGATGTCTAACTATGTTATTAGCAGATTTTTTTCCCAACAGGTTTGTGAGTATAACACTACCTTCCTGCCGCTTACTTAGCCACATAGCTGAGTAAAAGCCTAGTATTACTTTTACCTGTGTACAGCAAACACAAGAGCCAGGGCTGCCACAGATTTTTCACCTCCTGACAAACTGTCCATTGGCATAAAGCGTTTTCCTGGAGCCACACAGTTAAAGCCAATGCCTTCCAGGTAAGGCTCCTCAGGATTTTCAGGACTAAGGAATGCCTGGAAACACAGATATTTCATTATTAACAGTGACAGCTATACAATTATCAAGATGGTATTTTTTAGGTTTAAATACTGATTTAGGTAGCGTTGGAACTACCAGTACTACAGTAGGAAACCCCTGTTCATCTAGACTGAAGAGCAGCATTATAGAATTCCCCAAATACGCCTTTTTCAATGAACCATGAGCCAGGAGGCCGATTAACAAGACCACCTTGGGAGCAACTCCACATATTTGTTATTTACAAACTCTCAATCACTAAATAAGCCCGATTTTATCACCTTTCCTATAAATACTTTAATTTTTTAATTACTAAAAATTTAGACTTCCAAAAGAGTTCTCTTTTTTGTTTGGAGGTAAATCTACTTCCAAAATTACACTTTTTTTTTTTTTTGGTGAAAATTAGTTTTACAAAACCTTCCTTTGAGGTGGAGAAAGATTTTAATATAGGTAGGCTTTCTCTCCTCTTTGTATCCTTGTTCCCAGGTTCAAAAACTAAAAGCATTATCTTAAAGGAATGGCCATTTTACGAAACCATTAAAAAGGATGATGGATAAGCCTGTTGCTACGTGGTTTATGTTTCCCATTTAACAAAAGAAACAAGAAAATAATTGAGTCTCTTCCCTTCTACACAAGTGGATACAGATAAAATTTCCATATGTGACACTCATTTCAAATGGCTCTTCTCATATTTACAGTGGGAGAAAAAACAAAAAAAAAACCCAACCCACTACACGTACTTCAATTTTAAACAATTTCTGTGGTAAACAGTGCTGGAAGCAAGATACAGTGCTTGCAGGATCTTTGTTTTGTTTGAGGTACACATATATTCCCCTCCTTCTCTGCTGAGAGAATGCCTATCATTGTAGTAACACCGCTTTTCAGACTGTAAGCATGTCAAATATTTTGCAACACAGTTCCCAGTTCTGTGCCACTGCATCTATCTATGCAAGAGGAAGTTTTCAGATGTTTGGACACTACTAGCAAAAAATCATCTTATAGCTTACTAGGGTACATATATTTTTGCTCATCGAGATATGAAAGGAAAGACATTTCTCTCTCCACAGAAGAGGAATGGAAGAGAGCTGGTGTCAAACCCAGGAGTGAATCTCTCAATGTGCAATTTCTTAGGCTGTAGATTCTTTTGAATTATTCCTAGCACACAATGTGCTGATGAAATAAATTCTACTGAGCAATATATTCAGTTCATGAATGCTCCGAGTCCAGAATCTCTGGAAGTTAAATTAATCGATCAAAGCTTCTCTTTTGTAGACTGGACAGTAAATCATTATTAATAAATGTTATTAATATATTAAGAAATATTAAAGGCAATTTCCTGTTAATAGTTAAGGTTCCTTAAAAAGCAAGCTACAACCTAGGCCACCTCCTCTGATGGAAAAATTCAGAGCTAATCCTTTCTTTATCTAACCAGAACACATAGAGCAATCACTTCTCTCCCAGCACAATCAGATCAGCTTCCTTCAGCTGCTATGTTTGTATCTAGTAGGCGGTTTTAGCTTCTCAGCTAATCACAGGATAATCTCTTGACCAGGTTGTTGCCACTATGGCTCAACTCAAGGCACAGCATCCCAAACCTCAGAAAGAAAGCACCCAACTAATTATTTTTGGCAATGCGTCTGGAAAATACTCGTTTCAGAGTGATGCAAAGTCAAGATCTGACTGGTGTTTGGTCCAGGGGAGAAGGTGTGTGCCCAGTAATCAGGAAGAAGGAAATGCTTTATTATCCTGTCCAACCTACATGCAGAAAGGATATACTTAAAGATACTTAAGATGTTCACTGAGTATCTGACTTTGACAGGAAAACACAAAATCTCATTTAAGACAGAAAAGAGTTCAAGCCTGAGTTTTTAAACATTCAACAACCTTCATGATTTGATGTAACCAAAACATTTGGGAGTTTCCTCTTTATTTCCAGCAGTAATACTGGAACACTTGCAAAGATTAAACAGTTGTGAATGCTTTATCTTTTTTAACTATTTAAGTAGGGTATAAGGAGCTTCAAATGCAGCTATTCCTCCTCTGACCCTAAAATTCTAAGTCTGTATTTGGGTAATTTTCTTCTTCAGGACTGAAACCATCATTGGAAACCAAAAGTGTGGCTAATTCTCTTATTCTAGATAGCAAAACACCAAGTCAACTTTGAAGGCAAGTCCATGACACACCTGAGCACTACTGTTCCTACAAAGTTTCTTGTAGATCTGGTCGATAGCTACAGAGGCATGCTCAAAGCACCGGCTGAACAGCTCGTATCTCCTTCTTTTCACTTGTTCAAATTCTTGCCTGCGTATTCTAGCTTCCTTCCTGCTGGTCTCAAAAGCTATGAAAAAGGATTACTGAAATTACTCCACAGTAAGCCTCTGAGCAAATACACAGAATGAATATATGTTGTGTACCATAATAAGCATCAAGGAAAATACTTATGGCAGAAAAAGATTCTAATGCAGATACAAGGAGTATACCAACATTTTGAATTTCCTTCCAGATTTCAAATGAAGACCCCAAAAACTGAACAGCTGGGATGTATTCAATCTGCTTTATGTCTGGAGCAATGAATAAAATTCTTCTCCCAGTTCCTTCTGTAAGCTGGGCACCCTTAAGCAGCACCTGCATTTGCTTTTTGCAGCTTTAGAACTCCTTGGTTTTCTTAATCTGCAGTGCTCTTTTAGGGAAACAGTAACTGCAGCAATGCTCATACCTGACTTCTGGACAACATGTATTTGTTCCTTCAACGATTGAAGAAAAAAATAAATAATTTTATTATTAAAGTGAGTACTATTTAGAAAATAAGTAAAAATATTTTATGTCATTTAGCAAACAAAATATCTTTCCAATCATTCAAACCATATTTCAATAAACTACCGCAGAGTTAAGAGTATGTTAATAAACAGTTTACATATAACGACAACTGAGGATGAACCCTTGAACATAAAAGGTATCTTAATACCTGAAAGAAGCAAAGGCAGCAGGACCAACCCCAGAAAGAGGAATTTCAGTTAGGGTAAAAACTCTCATAGATTAATAAGAAAGACTCAGCATTACCATCTCTTGATTCTTGGAACTTGTCCCGAGCTACCTGTAGTTTCTCTACTGCTCTCAGGTTTGGAGCAGCTGTCTTCATTAAAGTACTCTCTTTAGATTTTATTTCCTGCTGCATCTGGTTCAGATGATCCTGTATATCTTTATCAGTGTCTAGGTCCTAATGGAAAAAAGTAAAAACACCAAAGCAGTAAAATCTACTTTTATTCCAAGAAGTTTCAACATACACAGCAAGCACCCATGGTTTCTGGAAGAATTCCCCCTCCCACCCAATAGCTTTAACTAAAAAACACAATAAACATGAAACTCCACTCCGAACCTTAGTCCTCAGAATAAATTTACAAGGTCTTAAGTATTGTTCCACAAAGAGCTTTAGAAACAGACACAAATTCCCTTCAGCCTAGAAGTCTAGGTTAAAATATAACACAGAAGGAGGTTTAGCTGGCTTCACTACTTCATTTGTGAAGAAAATGTCTCTATTAATTCATTGTGAATCTGTCTTCAAACAATTTTCAGTGGTGACAGATTCTTCCCTTGCTCTGTAACCAGCCTCTGACACAAACAGAGTGCTGGAAAGTAATGCAGAAGGTAAAGGTGGAAGAAAAAAATCAGTTATATTTACTTTTTATCACTATTTTTAATGGTTTAGAAAAGCTTTAAATTAAATTTAGTTATATGGGAAATTGATCTATCCAGAAATCCCATACAATTAGTACTATGTATGATTGCAAAAGCAAAACGCAAATACACATGCACTTAAGCTTAACAGTGGTTTTAGTAACAGTGATTTAGAGACTAGGTTGAAGAATAAATAATTTCAACAAATAAAGTATTTTAAATAAAAACTTAATCTCTAATAACTTCAAAGAGACTACCTTCAGGTCTTCTGCTAGGCTGCTGTAGTCGATCTGAATTGCCTCTTCCCTTTCATAGATACTGGATGTAGTCTGAGTGTCTTCTGTTTCAGGTCCTAGCTATAAATAGGAAGGACATTCCAGTTGATAAATATGACATATTAAATATAAATTTAATTTTAATATAATATAATAATATAATAAATATAATTTTAAACCATTAAAGCAATACATTAAAAGGATATAAAACAAGGAGACAATGGTAACATTGTATGAGGTAAACTTATTCCATAGCTCCTCCCCTAGCCAAAATTGAATTAACAGCTGAGTCTAATTAAAAACCATACCTTTTAAATGAAGATGAAAACATCTGCTAATTTATTTCAGTCTGGAGCTTAGAGGAAAGCAACAGTAATTTATTTGTAATATATTTAGAACAATGTGCATACTTTAAATCTTCTGATTGGAAAGGTTTACATTTCCATGATAATTCAAACCCCTTTAAGTAAAGGCTCTGAAGTGTGTAAGTCAAGGCATTTCTGAGTTGTCTTTAGAAGCAATGAGTAGCATCAATTTTGTACAGCATAAGCAGAATATATCCCGGACACTGTACACCTGGATTTCAAGGATCTGCTTTCCATTGAATGGAACACATGCTGCCTGCTGTAGTCAGTCCCTTTCCCAACCAAGATTCTTTCTCAGAACCAGATCTTAGTGGTTTTCTCATGGATAATCATTAGGAATCTAAGTTTTTATTCCTACTGCCCATCTTCCTTACTGATTAACATCAAGAGCTGAGCTGTCTACATACTCTGATGATTAGCAGTTCCTTTCCCTTCAGAGACTGCCCATCTCTGCATTCATTTTGTCTTCTGACCCACGCGTTCACACCTGTCCTCCAGAAAAGCTACTTTTCTAAGGAGTGGTATCAGCAACACTCCTTTCAAATTCACAGACTAGCTACAAGTCCTTCAAACCCCCTAGCTATTTTTTCTTCAAACAATGGACAAAGTTTAACTTCCTCTCACAGAAGATATGCTGGAAAATGAGGGAAGACTGAGAAAAATAAGGAGGGTCAATCCCTTGATGGCAGAACATTTCTATTTAAGCCTACCCCCAATTGCTGTGAATATTTGTATCTACTGAAGACAAAAGGACAATTTTAGACAGCATTTATATTATGGATGATTAATCAAAGATTATGTCAATTCATGTACATGCCATATTTATTTACATTTCTGAAGTGACCCCTGTGTGTCCCTTTACATGTTTATACTCCTTCACACTGATTTTCTTTTACCATAGCAATTTTACATATTTCACAGGAACACATTTCAAGCACAAGTAAAAAAATACTTGCAACAATATTTCTGTCTACAAAAAAAAAAAAAAAAAATCCTTGAAAATAATATTACTGTCCAAGATAAACAGTCCTGTAAGGAAAAATAAGTATCTCTAAATTCAAGACTGAATAATTGCTCGTCCATGATATACATCTTTTATAAACATTTTATGTACCTCAACTTCACTGATGTCATCCAGTAATCCAGATAGGAACTTTATTTTCAAGTCCTGCACCTTGCATTCGAGAAGCATATTATGTCGTCTCAATCTTTTCGCTTCCAGAGCAGCTTCTATAGTTGTAGCTTCTTTTTGTAATTTTGTAGCTTCTCTACATAGACGAAAGATATAAAACAATTAAAGAGCAGAAGCCACTAATATCCACAGCCATACAGCATGAGAAACAGTTACCGAGTTTCCTCTATAATCCCATTAAACATAAAGGAAAACTGTACTTCTTCCAACCCCTTCATTCTCCAAAAATCACTCAAGAGACACCTGAGAACCACAAGCTATTCCAGCAGGCAAAGTTAACACTCTGCTGTTATGTCTTAGCTTTAACTATTGCAAGGTAAATGCTAGGAGCACAGGCTTAGTTTCAGCATATTGCCAACTTCTCACTACAGGATGTTCAAGTATACACCTTTCCTAATTGCAAATTAACTCTCTTTTGTTCAGCTCTCCAGAACGTACATGGAAATTTGACCCTTTTGAAATTTAATCAAGTATCTTTTATCATTACCCTGCTTGAAATACATGACTCTTTGCAATGAATTCCTTTGATAGCATCAAGTTGCTAAGTAAAGCAGAGACACAACTGTCTTATTTTGTAAAAATTACACACTATAAAATTAATTACTAGGCACATAATCTGCAAGCTTGTGTAAAATTCCAGAAGTTTCCCTAGCCGTACTGTGCCAACATGTCTGTCTTTAAACACAGGCTCCTGATTAAGAGACGTGAAACACATCAATAATAAAGCACTTGATTTAGAAAAACAGTAAGGACAAAACAGTGACCTAAAATTAGTATTAGTTTAAGGTATCCAACACTTGAAAGGCCTGGAGAAAATGAAAATGCTGAAATCGGACCAAAAAAAAAAAAAAAAGAAGATAATTTCTCAATAACTGAACCAACCATACTACTCAAATATGAAACTACCGATAAACTTAATATGCCCCCCCCACCGAGTTGTAAGCTACTTATCAGAAGTCACTACATATTTATCAGAAATCACAACAAGACTTAACATGAGGTAGATAATAAGATAATGTTCTTCTATGCAGTTTATGGAATGGTTCTCATTAAATAATCTCATTCACAACACTTTTGGGAAGCAAATGCTGAATTGGAAACTCTCTTTAACTAATGCATACTGTAAATGCAAATTACCGCGTCTCTAATGAATCTTTCATAAGAAAACAGAACAAGAGAAATGAAAACATCTGATCACTACAACTCTTCTAAATATTACCACATTTATCATTTTCCTAGGAGCAGAATTAGCGATTACCTATTAAGAGTTAATAATGTCTTTCTGAACTCTTCAACTTCATTTTGGGCTTTTATAACCTCGGATTTATGAGCACTTAATCTATCCTTAAATTGTTGCCACTCCTCCATAATTTCATTCACTTTTTTTAGAAGCTTTTCCTCATCCTGCATAGAAATATTTACAATTTTAACCTTTCACCAAAAATCTTGATATGGAGCTTTGATTATACAGAAAGAAAGAGTTAAAGTTCAAACCTGTTAAAATATATTCAAATGTGTTACAGCACAAAATCTGAAAGGTCTGGGAAAACTGCCCGTTTTATACATAGGAATATCCAGATGTTTTGTATACATAGGGACAGCCAGCTCCGGATTTGTGACTGTACTAAACTATGCAGCCATCAAACAAGGCAGGGATCCTAGGATGCCTGAAATCTGTACGCCACTCCTTTTTCCTTAGTCCCTTATCCCTGCAAGAAGGATCCCACCTGCTGTACATCTACAACGTCTTCAGCAACACCTAGAGGTAATCTGAATCTGAAATCCTTTAAAAAATATTGTTCATTAAAGAGAAATCCTGAGGTAACCTGAAGAGAACAAAGAATCTGTGGAGGTACTCTAGAAGGGTCTTCCCCTATATAACCCAACTTGCTAAATTGCTAGAAATTAGGTGCTAGAAAATGGTAAATCTAATGCCACATGCATGAAGACATGGTCCTAGAGACTATGAGACTAGCTAAGAGGCTAGTATTACGGCAATCTAAACAAGACTTGAGTGCTGCAGTACCCCAAGTACCTTCAGAATTTAATACCAATAATCCTTCTCCAGGACAAAACCACCTGAATTTGTTCAACGTCATATTTCAGAAGAATTAAGCACACAGGCATGAAGTCAGACATGTTTCTGTGCATGACTAAAGGTCTATTGTTTTTCCTCAGTATCAGAAATATATATCTTCTAATGTTAAAATATATAGTGTTCAAATGATGCATGTGGGTGTTTTTGCCCACTTTGGGGGAGTTTCATATTTCACTTTTGTTCTTTATTCAAAGCACTATTACACATCTTTTCTCCTTCACTTTCCAGTGCACCACAAGCAACAACAACATAACAAAAAATGGCTTACAAGTAAAGAACGCTATGAAGGAGGAATCTATACAAATTACTTTAACTAAAAATGTAAATTAGTTTTCACAGATTTTAAGTCTATTAAGGCTGTGAAGCACTTCCCATCTATAAAGGCTGTGAAGTACCTTAAAAGACGCAAAGCACTGGACTTGTTTACTATTACTCCTAGAATCTTCTAAAGAATCTCAGCCACTGCTGCTAGTTTGCTCTCTAGTCATATGCTACGTTTTCACATAAACTAAGCACAGCATAACACTGCATACTAGTAATTTGTAAGTACCCTAATATGACAGGTAATCCAAGGTTAAAATGACAATATGCAACTTCATTTTTTCTAAATTTACAAAGTCAGTACTAAATTAAACCCTAGAAAAATTACTCAATAGCATTAACTATGTTTTTTCAAGATTATTAATTCAATGCACTCTTTCCTCAGTTCCAGCTAGAGAGATGTCGGTTACAGTTACCTTCTGTAGTCCGGTAATCTCAGCTTCATCTTTACGAACAGTCTCCCTCAACTTGCTGATGGTGTTTGTTAACTTTTGTAGATGATCACGATTATATTCCAGCTGAATATTTAGTCGTGTCTTCTGATTTTCAAATTCCAGTCTAGTCAAAGTACAGTATTTCAGAACAGTGCTTTCCAAACAGGCTGAAAACTAAGTCTATTTAAAATTATAAGACAGATTTTCATTTTGACTATTTAGATAGCATTTTTGTATGTTCTATATGAACACAAAAATTTGCATGCATCTGCATCATTGATTCCACTACACCACATCCTGTGGATATACTGGAAGGTACAAAAATACAGTGGTAACAGTTAAAAAAAATATAATATACAGTATGGCCATGTTTAATATGGAAAGTGACACTAAAAGTTCAAGTATCTCAGCATGAATAATATACCTACAAATAATGTAGATATGAACTGGGCAAAAGCTATGCTGATGATGTGTATTTACCCAATACCTGTGCTCCCTGTTCAGCCACTGCAAGCTTCCTGGTCAGCTGGCATGTATGTTTATCTGAGTATTGGAAAAAAACCATCTCAGTGAATAGATGGCAATTAAGAAGCATGAGACCAGAGTTTTTCAGGCCATGTGGAGCCTTGCTTGTTATTTCTCAATGGAGATCTGTATTTGCTTATAGGGGTACAACAGCAGAAACTTCTTAATGTCTTGCTGTGAGAAAGGACTGAAGGAAGCAGCTAGAGACATCAATTTGAATGGATGGACCACTCAGTGGATAAAGAACTGGCCAGATGGCCGTACACAAAGAGTTGTGGTCAATGGCTCAATTTCCACCTGGAGACCAGTAACTAGTGGTGTCCCTCAGGGATCGGTGTTGGGACCGGTCTTGTTTAACATCTTTGTCACTGACACAGACAGTGGGATTGAGTGCGCCCTCAGCAAGTTTGCCAATGACACCAAGCTGTGTGGTCCGGTTGATATGCTGGAGGGAAGGAATGCCATCCAGAGGGACATCGACATGCTTGTGAGGTGGACTAATGCCAACCTCATGAAGTTTAACCATGACAAGTGCAAGGTCCTACACCTGGGTCAGAGCAATCCCAGGCACAGCTACAGGCTGGGCAAAGAAGAGATTTAGAGCAGCCCTGCGGAGAAGGAATTGAGGGTGGTGGTCAATGAGAAAATGAACATGAGCCGGCAGTGTGCGCCTGCAGCCCAGAAAGCCAACCGCATCCTGGGCTGCATCAAAAGCAGCGTGACCAGCAGGTCGAAGGAGGTGATCCTGCCCCTTTACTCTGCTCTTGTGAGACCTCACCTGGAGTATTGTGTGCAGTTCTGGTGTCCTCAACATAAAAAGGACATGGAACTGTTGGAACAAGTCCAGAGGAGGGCCATGAGGATGATCAGGGACTGGAGCACCTCCCATATGAATACAGGCTGAGAGAGTTGGGGCTGTTCAGCCTGGAGAAGAGAAGGCTGTGTGAAGACTTTATAGCAACCTTACAGTATCTGAAGGGGGCCTATAGGGATGCTGGGGAGGGACTCTTCATTAGGGACTGTAGTGATAGGACAAGGGCTAACAGGTTAAAACTTAAACAGGAGAAGTTTAGATTGGATATAAGGAAGAAATTCTTTCCTGTTAGGGTGGTGAGGCACTGGAATAGGTTGCCCAGGGAGGTTGTGAATGCTCTATCCTTAGCAGTGTTCAGGGCCAGGTTGGACGAGGCCTTGGATGACATGGTTTAGTGTGAGGTGTCCCTGCCCATGGCAGGGGGGTTGACTTGATGATCTTAAGGTCCTTTCCAACCCTAACTATTCTACGATTCTATTCTATGATTCTATGATTTACAGAAAGGTCTCCTCTCAGCTGTTACTGTCTGCCTCTGAGCTTACCGAATGATTAACTACTGGTGCTGCATCTGTTGTTCAAGCAAAAGGGTTGGCCCAACACCAGCTCCAGGCCCTTTAAACCTGGGCAAGAATACAACACCACAGCAGAGGCTTACAAGTCTAATGTTGGCAAGGTAGGGCAGCAAGGCCAATGCAGCATAGCATAAGGGCATGTAGCCATAGAACAAGGAAAATGGTTTTAAACTGAAAGAGGGTAGATTTAGATTAGACATTAGGAAGAAATTCTTCACTGTGAGGGTGGTGAGGCGCTGGCACAGGTTGCCCAGAAAAGCTCTGGCTGCCCTATCTCTGGCAGTGTTCAAGGTCAAGTCGAACAGGGCTTTGAACAACTTGCTCTAAAGGAAGTTGTCCCTGCCCATGGGAGGCAGGTTGGAACTAGATGAACCTGAAGGTCGCTTCCAACCCAAACCATTCTGTGATCCTAAGATAATGCCATGCAAAAATTTCCTCTTTTCACTGTTCTATTACTAACTTCATACACTACACCAGACTTCAGTTCTTGCAAACGTAAGTAAATGACCAAATCACTTCAGCCAGCAGGTGCTTTAGCTGGAACTAAACTTACTGCATTACTGTCTCACTGCAGCCCTAACCAAGCACACGTTTGGACTACTTTCTGAAAACCAGTCAGTGAATCTCTTGGCAGCTGAAGAGATAGCTGAAAAAACGGAGTTCAGTACCAGCCATTATACTAGTCATGTAGAAAAGGCATATTTCCTAGAAATGAATGCACAAACTATCATCTGCCTGCAAATACCTGTAGTACAAGGAAATAGTTCATTTTAACATTCTCATTCTTTAAAATATAAATTTGTTGTCCTGTGACATATGCCTGTCAGAGGGGAATACCAATTAAGGTTGCCTGTGAGAAAATATCCTAATTTCCTTAACAGTATGTTCTTCTACCAAATCACTTCATCTCACACTCAGCTCTCTAAGCTTTTTAATACATGAGTGAGCCTCAACACCATCCTTTTCTATGCCGTTTTTCTATGTGGATTTTATTAAAATACTTTTTGCTTTATTTTCCTGCAACAGTGCTACCAAAATAGCAAATGCTACCTTTCCAGGTTGTTGCAAACTACCACTGACTTTAACTGTCAGATAAACCCAAACCATTGCAGTGCAACTGCTCACTAATCCTTGCAGTGCTAATATAACCTTTTACAGTCTTTTAGGTTTTTGTGGTATTTCCTGTGATGGAGGGAATTTACCAGTGTGCCCAATCTAATACAAATAATTTTTTAACATTTCAATTACAAATACCACCTTTTCTTATCAATCTCCTCTTGTTGTCTCACACGTTCTTGTTCATACACACGAATATTTTCTATACCAATTTCTTCACAGAATTCCTGGAAAACAGAATCTTCAACCTTCAAACAAAAAGAAATGGAGCAAAAATTTTTCATGCTATCTTGCAACCAGTCAAACATCTAGACAATCACTTCAGTTTACTGTTTCTGTCTGTTGTTCCCTGTCCAATGAAGAAGAGAAAGCTGAATGGTATACAGGACACTAATTAGATACATCAGGTTTCTCAGTGTAGCTCAGTTATTTGTTCCACTCCTTTCAAGTGATTCATAAATGTTAATTACTATGTTCCATTTATAGCAAAGCCACAGCAAAAGACCTGCTACAGAATCTCTTATTTCTTAATTATACAGCAAATACTAACAAAAGCTTCAGCCAAAAACAATCTTAAAATTTTAATGAAATACTTCAGCAGGTAATGGTGTATACGGCAAGACTGAACAAAGAAACAGCAACAGCCTACAGCATTTGAAAGATAACCCAATGGACTGAACAAAATTTTAAGTTAACTTCATAGGTCAAAACCCAAGTATTGTTTATATTGTTTTGATATGCAGGCTTGTCTAACCAGGTATCAAACAAGCATACAACAATCTTAAAAAAAAACAAAACCAAAACCAAACCAACCCCAAAACCACAAACAACAACAACAAAAAAAGCCAAGAAAAAACAAACCCCAAACCCACAACATCCAAAAGAGCCCCAAAACACCCCAAACACCCCTCCTTCCTCAAAACTTCTTCCTCCCCAAACAAAAACCCCCAAAACAGTGAAATAAGGAATTCCTTGACAATCATCATGCATACCTCAACCACTCTCTCAGAATAGTAAGAGTCCACAGAAAATAAAGCACAGATATTGGCTACTTCCCAAGAAAGGAATCCTCACTCTGTGCTGCTCTTTATCTACTTTTCTAGTATACACTGGCATAACAGGTAATCATCTAGATATGACATCCATAGAATTCAGAACAAAGCACTCTAGCAGCGCTGAGAACTGTTCTCAGCTCTAGAAAGCTGACACAGAGCTCTCTTCCTAATGGCATGAGCATGCCTGATCTATTCTGCATGTGGGCTGCAGACCTGATGGATCTTCCAATTGAAAGAGATCAATAGAAGATTTCCATTAAGACACTAAATGGGACCTGCCATGACTGCAGTGAGAATGCTTTGCAGGAGGACAGTCACATATGCAAGGACTGTCTAGCTGGTGGGTGTACTGTTTACTGAGAGATCTGCAACTCTTCTGGGTGCTTACAGAGTTTAGTGTACATACATGCTGTCACAGATCCATATCTGCCAGGAAGACTTCACACCAAAGGAAAGTTACAGCTTAGTCACGCAATCATGCTGCATAAATATCTCTCCACAAAAAGGAGAGGTCCTGTGACTACAGTTTCTTACAAAGAATTGGGTTGTTAGGAGTCTGAGAAAGAATAAACTTGTATCAAGATTTACCCCAAAACCTAGAGAGTAATTTGCTGGGATTTAATCTACAGTTGAAGCTTGCACTTAGAGCTCTAAAGCTGTGAACTACAATGGACTGTGCCTGCTAAACAGTTAGAAGTGTAAATCATATTATTAGCAGACCAGGAGAAGTTGGGGGAAAACCAACCGATCTTCTACAAACTCAAAAATTTTCTCCTATGCCAAATGAAATGAAATTATAGTTTATACATTAAGCATATATATATAAAGCTTAATTTAATAATCTAATATTCAAGAAGTACATAATTTGGTGTGTTTGTATTTGGCATATAACAGTCACAGGATTTTGATTTTAAGGAAACTGATTTGCAAAGCTATGATACATATATACTAAAATCCAACTGCACCTCTGTTCAGTTACCTTGATAAGAAAGGCAAAGAATGTAGGAAGATTGTTGGAGTAACTTATAACCCTTGTCACAGAATCACAGAATCAATCAGGTTGGAAAAGGCCTTCAAGATCACCAAGTCCAGCCGCACCCCAGCATTGCCAAGGTCACCACTAACCCATGGCACTCATGCCTCATGTGCAGTCTGTGAACACCTCCAGGAATGGTGATACTTGTCTCAGTTTGAGCTGCCAATAAGATCTTTCACTACCCTGGAGTTTGCTGCTTCTCTGGATGGGCGAGGGACAGCGAGGAGGGGGGAAATGGAGCTGCAAACACTGCATATAAAGCTAAGCAAGTCACAGATTTTACATATACCTCTTGTTTACAAAGTTAAAAGTTGCTCACTTTCTAAAAATGAGCAGTAACAGAAGAAGCTTCTGCAGTACAACAGAATAAGCTGTCATGACTAGGATAGGAAGCATTACCTCATCAATTTTTTTCTGAAATTCTTCTATTTTCTCTTTTCTTCGTGCTACTCCTTCCTTCAGCATATCATGCTGAGACTCAATATTTACCAGTTCACTTTCCAGTTTTGATTTCTCCTAGATAAAAAGAAAGGAAAAAGATGGTAATTTTTCTTATTAGGATGGTCAACTTTCTGGAAAATAAGAGAAGGTTCTATTCCAGAATAACTGTATTTTTCTGATTAAAAACATTGAATACTTTCTTCTACAATGCCACTTACCCACTATTATTGCCAATCTGCATGCAACCATTACAGTTTTCATGAGCAGAAAAACAAGTTACCCAAGTATCATTTAAAGTGCATTTTGATTTACAGACTAAATGATAAACCGATCTTACCAGAAATTCAAATTTAAAACCTAAAAGAGAACAAGTCTCATGTAAATTACTTTGCAATCTTGGAGGTTTTTTGTATTTTATTCATTCCTCAGTCATAACTGCTGTATGTAAAACCTGGAATACTACTTCCTTAAGTAGCTTTTTCTAATTCTTTTTATTTCACTAGTAGTTACAGCTTAGGCAAAAAAAATGCAATTATTAAACACAAAAATTATAAAGGCTTAGTACTATACCGTGTAGAGATTAGCAAGATGTTTCTTTTTAATAAGCTCTAATTCACTCTGTGAGTATTTAAGTCGTGTCTGCGTTCCACGGCATTGAGCATACAACTGCTTCAAGTCAGCCTCCTTACGTTTGATCTTCATTAAGTCCTAGAAAAATATTACAACGTAAGAAAAAGCATTTGAAACAAACCATGACTTATTTGGAAATTACTCTTTTTCAGATTTATGCACTACATAAAGCTAGCCTCACTGACATAGGCCCCATTCAAGGCAAATGCTGAGAACATTGGTCATATTCGATACCAATTTTGTAACAGATTTATTTCTCAAAAGAAAGCGAACACTTGCAAATTCCTAAATTCCTGCTCTATCCTCTTCCAAAATAACTCAAGTATGATAAATCATGTTACACTGACAGGTTTTGGTTTGTGCAAATATTTTTACATTGACAGCATCTAGCATCTTCTTCACTAAAAGTTTTCAGGTACTCTGAACAGTAGCTTTTTTTCCTTGAAGAAACTTTTCTCGGTGTTGTCCTGGCTCTCCAACTCCGTCATACGTGAAACAACCCACCATGAAAGAACAGAGACCCACAGTTGATTATTATTAACTAGAAGAGGATAAACAACTACTACATCCTGCCTGCATCTTCTAGAAGTTTTGAAAATTACCTTTTAGAAAATCATCTTCCCATAGCTGAATTAAATGATTTAAACCCTTTATGCTTTTTGCAGTTAAGTGCTTTTTAAGAGACCTACCTTTAGCTCATTAATCAAGCTATCTCTTCTTTCTTTCATTGTATTCATTTCTTTATCATCCCAACATCTAGCTTTAAATCTTAAATCACTTGATCCTCCAGAAATCACTCCAGACTTCAAGAATAAAGTTCCATCAAGAGCCACTGTCTGGATGACAAAAGAAAAATAAAATTAAAATGAAATACATCTGAATACAAAGCAGCCAAAACATGCAATGAACTAGTGCCCCAGATATGTCAGTTAAGCAAGCATCAACATTTTAGTGGGACTCCAACATTCTTTCCTGTTCCAAACCTGCTAACATGACATACATGAAGCTACAAGAAAAATCCATTGTTTCTTGGCACTAGCCACGTTTTGGTGTTACTACTACTGATCAGAAAAGGAAATTAAATGGTATAATTTCATTTTATTTAGGAAATCAATACAAGACATTTGTGTATACCCTGACAACTTTGAAGGCTATGTCTGGCTTAGTAGAGCAAAAAAAGCAATGTGATAAGGGAGTAGAGGAAAGCAGCTCATCTGTAAATAGAAAGGAGAAATTTTAGTAAAGAACATAGGTGTTTTTGTGACTCGATTCCAAGTAAAAATGATTTCACAGTCACCTTTGACTTAAGGCTGTTGTAATGAAGATTTTAAAAGGTTTACCAAGTGCATAGGTTTCTACAGACTATCTACAGGTTCCACTTAAACTTGAGAAGAAACATCTTCTCAGTGAGGGTGACGGAACACTGGAACAGGCTGCCCAGGGAGGTTGTGGAATCTCCTTCTTTGGAGACATTAAAAAACCGCCTGGACACGTTCCTGTGCAACCTTATCTAGGTGTTCCTGCTCCGGCAGGGGGATTGGACTAGATGATCTTTTGAGGTCCCTTCCAATCTCTAACATACTGTGATACTGTGATACAGCAACAGAAATAAGCATAAGAAGAAAGAAGTGCAGGAAAAATCAGAGAAGCTTCAGCCCACACAACACAGTCTGCATTTCAAACTAATACATTCTGTCAAAGATTTTTAAATAATTTTTGAAAGGATTTCTTCATAAAAAAGCTAGCAAGATTGTTTGTATTGTTAAATCAGACAGTTTAAAGAACAGAATTACTCCTACCTCTTTCTCCCCCTTTTCATCCCAAGGACCATACCAAGAAACATACTTGGACACTATCTAACTTGCCTCCTTTTCCCAGGAAATCACTAAAACCTACTATCATACAGAGTAAAACATAACCATGTGAAACACCTGGGGGGGCTTATTTATGTGGGAATAGACTAGACAGCATAGTATAATTCTGCAATACTTTGTGGGATATTTATAGAAAAATTATTTAAATGGCAACAAATACATAACTGCAGTGAACAACATGCAATAAAATTCAGTTTCTTACTTTCAACCTCACTGGTCCATCAAATGCTATTTGTTTTGCTTCTTTAACTGTTTCACAGACCAAGCCATTCCCACTCACAAACTGAATCACTTTTTTCAGTGGGGCAAACGGAGTTTGTACAACATCCACCATCATTTTAGCTCCTTTTATCTCTCTTAACTTTTCGTTGATTGGTTTAACCTGTAAAGCAAGTAAGCAACGTTTAGAATCCATGTTGTTATAGCAAAGCATGTCCAAATCTGAGTAGACTGGGGACAGGATGTACAGATCAACAGAATGTGGTTCTGTAAAACTAGATACAGATCTTGTTTTCATATTCTATGTATACTGTAGTCCTTAAATCTGTATAACTTATTTTGCTGTGCATGAAATGCAAGTACATGTAGAATGGAGAATAAACAATATGAGTTAAAACATTTGTGAGAGAACAGCTGGAATGCAGAGAGCTCTGCCTGGGAAGGATGATGAACTGAGAGCTCATAGGTAATGACTGAAGAAACATCTGTCAAAAATTGTAGTGGGTGTCTGCTACAGGCTGCCTATCAGGATCATAGAATCAGATTGGTTTGGGTTAGAGAGGACCTTCAAGACCATCTAGTTCCACCCCCCTGCCACAGGCAGGGACACCTTCCATTTGACCAGGCTGCTCAACGCCCCATTCAGCCTGGCCTTGAACACTGCCAGGGATGGGGCAACCATCCTGGTTGGTATCTCACCACCCTCATAGTGAAGAATTTTTTTCTTAATAGGTAATCTAAATCTCCCCTCTGTCAGTTTAAAGCCATTCCCTTGCCCTGTCACTACACGCCCTTGCAAGTCCCTCTCCAGATTTCTTCTAGGCCTCCTTTAGGCACTGAAACTTGTTCTAAGGTCTCCCCAGAGCCTTCTCTTCTCCAGGCTGAGTAAGCCCAACTCTTTCAGCCTGCCTTCACAGGAGAGATGCTAAAGCATTCAGGTCATCTTTGTGGCCCTCCTCTGGACTCTCCAACAGCTCCACATCCTTCTTATGTTGAGGTACCCATAGCTAGACAAGAGTACTGCAGGTGGGGTCTCAGAAGAGAGGTGCAGAATCACCTCCCTTGATCTGCTGGCCACACTCCTCTTCCTGCAGCCCGACATAAAGTTGGTTTCTGGGCTGCAAGCACACACTGCAAGCTCACGTTGAGTTTTTTGTTGGCCAACACCCCCACGTTCTTCTTCTCAATCCAGTGCCTGCCCAGCCTGTTATTTGTGCTTGGAATGAGTAGAGTGAATGAGGCCTACAGGCAGTTAGAAGCAGTGTCATATCTGGTATCTAAAGAAACATATTAATATTTCTCAGTTGCATAGCTACTCAATAGTCTTTTAATGATCATAGCAACTGAAAGAGGTGCCTAAGGAGTGGAAAAAAACCAGGTGTCACTTCTGTGTTCAAAAAGGGGCAAGAAAGAGGACCCAAGGAACTACAGGATAGTCAGTCTTACCGTGATCCCTGGGAAGATGATGGAGCATCTAACCCTAGAAACCATTTCCAGGAACATAACAAAAGTCTTGGAGGACTATTCAGCATGGATTCACCAAGTTGTGACCAACCTGATGGCCTTCTATGAAATGACTGGCCTGGCAGATGAGGGGAGAGCAGCAGATATTGTCTACCTAAACTTCAGGAAGTCTTTCAGCACCGTCTCCTGCAAGATCGTCATAGAGAAGCTGACGGAATATGGACTGGCTGACAAACAGCGAGGTGGACTGAAAACTGGCTTGGACAGACAGATCCATAGGGTGGTAACTGGTGGCATAAAGTCCAGTCACAGGTCAGTAACTTGCCACATCAAAATTAGGACCAATCCCGTTTAACATCTTTACTATCTGAATGATGAGAAAGAACCACATTTGGGCTCGTTTGCCGATGGCAAAAAACTAGAGGGAATAGCTGATACACTAGGGGCTCATGCAGTCACCCAGAGGGACCTCAGTAGGCTGGAGAAATGGGCCAACTGGAACCTCATGAAGTTCACCTCCTAAGCGCTTTCCCCTAACAGTTAAGACTATTTTAGTTATGCTTAAATGAGCCAAGATCAAGATTTACAAGTGCATTAACTTGCTCATGACAGAAGAAAAAAAAAAAGAAAAAGAAAAAGAAAAAAGTACTTACATCGAGGTAATCCAGAGCAAGAAAAGTTTCAGGTTCAGCTCGTTCTTGTTTTAGGAAGCGAATGCAATCTTTTGCTGTTTTTTCAGTGGCAACAACAATAGCAGTCATATATTTGCTGAATACCTTGGTAACAGCAAGCTGGTACTTTTTATGAATAGGATGACACAGGTCAATCAGTCTTCCAAACTAAAGATAAAAAATACAGAAAAATATTAGTATGTTACTTTAGATATCAAATAATATTTCTGCACTGAAAGATGTTGAAGTATTAAGAGGAAAACGTTACATACCTATGAGCTACACTCTCTACAATAGCTGTACATCAGAAAAAAAACAAAAATTGTAGTAGTCATCAATCCAAATTGCAAAGTATGCCTTCAAATCTGAAGGTAGGGTTTTAACTTTTTTCCCTCAAGATTAACGTTATGCATCTCAATGTTCTACTCAGCATACATAAGCATGACAGAGCGACAACAGCAAAGTCGGCCAAGTTTCCTTTTTGGAGAGGAAGAGAAGTATCTAACAGACACTAAGATCTTTGAATGACAATATGGTCTTAAATAAATAGAACTATTAGCTGGAAAATGGTAGCAACAGAGACACTGTTCCAGTTTTAACCCAAAAAAGAAGCATCCTCTTTCTATAGTAGCATGAAAAGAATAAGAACTGCTTTTAATTTACTGAATAGTCCAAAGAATCAAAGCTGTTTTGCTATATATTGATATACTACCACCATAGATAGAACGACTTAGTTCTTTGCTGTACATGCTCTCAATAAAGGTGTTTTGCTCCATTTCTGTAATTATAGGTATAGTTGAACTTTCCCTGAATAATTAAAGGTACATTCTGAACATTTTAACATATAAATTTGATTTTTCAGACATTCAAAACTATACAGAGGATCTATATACTTTCAGACACAGGCATTTAAGTCCAGCTAGAATGCTGTATTTACATGAAAACATTTGCCTGAGCTGCAGACAGAAACATCCAAGTAGATGGGCTGACAGCCTAACTGAATCTTTAACAATCACAGTCTTATAATTAAAACTACCAATGTAGGAATGCCATTCTGAAAATTAAATTGTAAAAATTGTAATCCACTACAAAAGTCACTTTGTTCATCAGAAAAATCCATGAAAATGCACGTGTCACTCATACACATGGAATCACAGAACTGCACGGCTGTTTCAGTACCTGGAATGTTCACCAGCCGTTACAAGATTATTTTATCAGAAGATTTAAAATGGACATAAAATCTAAGTATTTAAAAGCAGTATGCCATTTTTCACCAATGAAATCCAGATGACAGACACCAAGATTTCCTCCAGTTCTGCCTGAGTATTTAGTTCTGTACACCTGTGCCTAAGGAGCAGCTCAGAAGACATCATCACCTTATATGCTGGTGTTGGGAAAACTTGCAGGAACAAGGGTAACTGAAGCAAGTATTGTTAAGACTTTCTTTAATGGGATAGATTATATAACCAATTTTACTCATCTATTTTTTACATATTAGAAGCCATCATATCTGTAAGTACTTTTAAATTTGCACCTCCTGAGGGAAAAATAGGAGAACATCCTAAATACCAGCTGTCCTTTAAGCCAGCAAGGTATCACCAATCTGATCCAGCTCTTTTCAAATAGGGTACAATGCAAAAAGCAAGCAAAAAGACACATATCAAAATTGCATTTTTTTTTTAACATCTCATTAACATGGATTAAAAGGTTCTGAAGAACAGCTATAAAGTTTTGCTGTTCTTTGCTCCTTGGTCTTTTGTAAAACCTCAGAATCTGGCAAGTGTCTGATCCTGTTGTTTTTTTCAAGAGGTTAAGGATTTGCTTTTCAGCTCTGTAAAGAACTGGATCAGACTGCTGACGCTTTGCTGGCTTAAAAGACAGCTGGTGTTCAGAATATTCTCTTTCATTTTCATTTATGTTCTTATGGCAGCACTAGGAAGCAGATATGTCACCTTTAAAACGAGAAGAAGGGGGACCTTCCCAGCTTGTACAGCTCAACTATATATATCAGAAAGGACTGATTATACTGACATACTCAGAGACTAACTATTCAATTGACTAATTAAAAAATTCTTATTTAGGATCACTTCCAGCATTGGAGGAAATACTTTAAGCGTCAATAAAAAGGTATAAGTATGCCTCACAATCAGTGTCTGCTTACGACTAAAAAAATCAATACACAGAACACTTAATGGCATTACTAAGGACTAATTTAAGTAAAATATAGTAACTGATAAGCAAAGACAGATCATTTGGTAAAATAAAAATGTCATGCACCTACGCAACACTGTCCTTTGGAAGAAGCATTCCTTATGGAATAAATGGTCTCTCAGACAACCCTCCCATTCATTTGTTCAAAATAAGTCAGTCAAAAATATGCCTGAAGACAGAAAAATATAAACCCAGAAAGAAAAAAAAAACAAACGGCACAAAGAAAAAAAAAATAATCACACAAGAGATCAAAATTGTTCTTTGATGAAATCAGTAATACATTCTGGTAATTGTGAAAAAGAATGGCAGTTTATGCTGCTATTCTTTCAGCAATACTATTTCACCAACTACACCTGAGCAAGCGTGAAGTTTAAAAGAATATTCAAGACAGTTTCATTTACTCTAGCTGCTTATTCAGTCTAAGGTAGAACTCTCAAATCTTGCTTCTAAAGTAAGGCTTTAAATGAGGCCATTCAATTACCACAGAATCTGGATATAGTCTTCTGAGACTTTCCAGGATCTCTGCTCTCATTTGCTGACGCCTTCCTTCATGGTAATCCATTCTGGCATTCTGCAGTTCACCAACTATCTTGTTCAATTCTTCATTCACTTCAGCCATTCGTATCGTTGCATTTTCGATTTCTTTAGTTAGTACTTCCTCTTGCTGCTTTTTTTCTGCTAATGATTCACTTTGAAAGGAAGCAAAAAAAGGAAAACAATTTACTATTTCATTTATACAAGCTTTTAGGTTACGAAACTAAAGGCATTCTATGGTCACAAACTACAAAAATCATTAAAGACCTGAAGTATCTGCATGAAGTTACTTACACAAGTTGCATTCTGAAGCTATTTTTAACGTTTCAAAATTGAGTTCCAGTGAGAGTTTTTGCCTGTGTAATACACAACCCTATCGTTTTGCCCTCTATCAATAAAAGGACTGGTATTGGAAAAATTAGAAGGATTGAGAATTCTCATGAAAAATTATTACTCACCTTACACACTTGGCAAACATCACTAAGACTTTACTGCACTCTACTACAAGTACTTAATTAAAATAATTTTTACATCACACCAATCACAGTGGGTCTGCTGCTCTGAGTCCATGACAGAACTTCGTTTAGTACACAGACAGCATTAAGCCAAAGCACACATTACAGATGCACAGAAAAAGATTGTCTTGGGGAAAAAAAATCTCTGCAGATCACCTACTCTGACCTCCTGCACAAAACAGGATACCATCAAAATTCACCAGGTTGCTCAGACAGTAAAAATCAAGTCAAAGGCAAGACCCAGGAACTGAGACCTGAGCTGCTAATACGCAACATAAATATTAATGCTTTCCAGAGCAGCACCACTGCAGTATTACTCTGCCATCTTACTCAAAATTTGTACACCAATAGCCCCACAATGATACAATTTACACACCTACAAGAAATTTGAAGCAACTATAAAACTGATTTCAAACAAAATATGGATAAGGCATCAGACCTCCTGCTTTAACAGGCAAAGTAACTGAAATATTAATTAGAACTATGATGAATTCTCATTTGGATTAAAATTTTAAAGCACAGACAAGAATTAAGAAGTAATAAGAAACTTGTTATGTTAATCTGAGAATATGTAATATGCCAGAATTCCAACTAGGTTTTAATTTTTTAAACATACGTGCATATCTTGGCATATTCTTCCAACTTCTCTATCCGTTTTTTATGCTCTTCTACCTGTTCCACAGTCTGGTTTATGTTTTCCTATGCAGTCACAAACAGAATGTGTTAAAAACAAACCAAAGGAAAATGACAGTTTTTCAGCAAGGCAAAACTGTTAATTCAGAACAAGTACTGAGACAGTTTTTTTCTCACTTGTTCATATTTCATGCTGAAGCAATAACACCTCTTTTCAACAGTAGATGCCAAATTGCACCATGAATAATTATTTTCTCAAGGTCATTGTTGGATTTTTCATGTTTGGCTACAGTTCAGAGAAAGTCTCTTCAGCACAAAGAATCATGACAGAATCAAATAAAACAACTTTAAACATACTGTTAGTAAATTACAGGTGTTAAAAGAAGAAAGGTGCTTTTCTTGGCCCAAGATTAACAGAAGCTTCTTCCTAAGGACACATTAAAAATTTGACGTAGAGGTTCCAACCTGATACAACAGCGCTGTACTAAAAAACTAACAGTGAAACAAGTATTCTCAGTTATTCAAATTGAACAAAAATAAATTAACTAAAGCATGTAAAAGAAAAAAAAAATAGTTACCTACACATTTTAATAAGCCTTAATTCTGAAATCCTTGTGACATTTTTAATAGCTCCAGGAATGGAGAGTCCATGGCCTCTTTGTGCACCCACTTCAATGTTTGACTGACCTCAATATGAAATAGTTTACTGTACAGCTATTCAGAACTCTAAGTTGTGCCTGTTGTCCCCCATGTTATCACTATAGGTGCCACTCTAGTAAGAGCATGACACTGTCTTATTCATACTCTCCCATTAAGTAGCTGCAGATGGTAATAAGGTTTCCCTTTCACCTTTTCTTTTCCAGGCTGAACAGACCCAGTTCTCTCAGCCTCTATTCATAAGCCAGGTGCTTCAGCCCCAGCCAGCTTGGTGGCTCTCTGCCAGACTCAATCCAGAACATCATTATCCTTCCTGTACTGGGGAGCCCACAGTCGGACAGAGCATGTTAGATGTGGTCACACATGCTGCGTTGTGAGGAGTGATCACCAAGTGCCAGTAGGACAGATAATTAATGTCAACTCTGAATGGTCAGGCATGCATTTTCTGAACTCTCAATTATTCCTTGTTTCCTTCTCAACAGGGATTTGCCAAGTTTTAGAAACACAAGCAACAGAGTTTATTTCACTTCTAGATACTAATTAGGTTTTCCTTCAAAAAGTAGAATTTTTTCAAGATAAAAAGGATGTACAATCATTAACTTAGATACCATGGCAAGAATGACTTTACATCCTCATAGATATACAGTAAAATATAGACTTTTCCATACAAATAAGTTTAAATCTACAAGAGTGAGATGTTAGAAATTCTCAGAAATTATAAAGTCTCATCTGATGGATTTGTAAATTTTCTCAACATAAAGAGTCTCCTCTAAACCTTGACTCTACAATTAAACATGTTCCTCTCTGACTTCGTAGTAGATGACAAAACTGCAAAGTTAGCACAGTTTAGAGGGAAAAAAAAAAAAAAAATGGTGGGCGACAGGGGGAAGGAAGAACCCCCAGAACACTGAATATGGCAAAGTTTTCAGCAAAAGGCAGATTATCAACTGAGTTTCTGTCCTTTCTACTTCTTTCAGAAGCCCCATGCAAAGTTGAACTATGAGCTGGGAAATAATTTTTCTAAAAAGAGAATTTCAGGCATGGTGACCAAGTCATAGTCAAAAACGTAGGTATTTCATTGTCACGTGTGGATCTGCAGTGATAAAAGAAATCAGAGACAAAATGACAGCAATGATCTGTGTTTACACCAAAAACCCTGCTTCTGAAGGGCAACAGAGGAGTGGACACCAAGGAGGTTTTTCCAACTACAACACACTTGTATGCACAAGTGACCTTAAAAACATTTCCATCAAAAAGGTAGCTGTGATCAAAATAAGCATCTAAATGGTGTATCATACAGAGGTACAACAGTGGCAGAACACCTCAAAAAATATCCTTACAAAACCAGGAACTGATTACAGTCAAGCATATATTCTGCGTAACTGTAAGAGATTAGAGGCAAAGCTTTCAAAACCAAATCCTCAGTGCAGACTCACACAGCCATTCTGTGAACAAATTTAGAAGCCATTTTGCGAGGCCTGTTGCAACAGGAAAACTAAACTAACATTTGCAATGTAACTCCTTCACTGAGGGTGTGCTCATGACAAAGCATTTATATAGACATTTATACCAGAGGGAAAGGTAGAGAAACATTTTTCCCCTTAACACATAATTTTAGCTTGATGCAAATACCTCAACTTCTTTTTTCTTCCTCCAATTCAGTTTCAGCCTTTCTTCATCTGCTTTTTGCTCCCAACGAAGCTTTTTTAGCTGCTGGTTTAGCGTAGCTACTTTCTTTCTTGCTATTTCCTTTAGCTCTTTGTAATGCTCCAACTGGACAAACAGAATAAACAAATAAATTCACTCCACTGAAAGTGGGAAGGCTCAAGTTCAGTTACATTCTCAATTAATAACTGCCTCCTTTATCATGAGTAGGAAAACCACCTAATTCTCCAGAAAACCTTTCTATCTACTAATTGTGTTATAAAAAGTTATATTTTATAAGAGAAAGTTTCAACACAAAACTTGCACTTAATAGTTCTTGCCTACAGTCTTGTTTTAGGCTTCTAATGACTCTATTTTTCAGGGAAGTTTATATTTTACAGTACTTCACAGTAAATCTTAAGACTAACACTAAGTTTCTGCACAGCCCAAAATCAGTAAAAATGTGCTGTTTAGTATTATAAATAACAATTTTCACGTTATATCTATCTATCTATATATATTTTTTTTTTCTTTAAGGTAACTATAAATAGTTTAAGCAATCCTGCAAAGGTATTTCTAGATGACCAAATGTCTCATCTAGATATCTCTAGATGAACCAAAGTTCAAAGTGAGAAGACTAACAAACTAAAAAAACCCTCCAGGGTTCTCCCTTGATGGATCAGAAACAATCTTAAGGGAGAGGCAGTGGAGAAAAGCTAGCACTTAGTTTTAAAAGTGTTTCTGGCCACATGGTTGCAACAGCTTTTTCAAATGTGAATGCACTGCAAAGTGATGCAGTCCTTTCCTTCTAAAGTAACTTAAAATAGTTCACTTCTAGATTCTGACCCAGAGTAGATGCTACATATACCGCAAAGTCTTGTTTACAATTTGTGTCTTCTTTTTCCCTAAAGACATATTCCTGTACTCCAGCTGACAAGCCATTACTCAAATATTAACATCAAATATTACTCTGAAGGAGGGGAAAACAAACCAGCCACAACAACCTAGCCACAGATAATCACATGTAGCTACAACCCGAATACATAGATCACAGTCCCCACATACAACCCTTCTGAAATTTCCATCAAACCCTTGTCAACTTCCTGTTCACTAAGAATTCACTACTTCCTCCAATATGGTATCTTCTCACATTGCTTAGCAGATATTTTTCACACCCTAGGAGAGATGCTTATCATTTGCAATCTCACAATGGTGAATTTCTAAATATCTATGCATCTTAGATTTACTTCCCAGAAGTGTTCCAGATTTGGAACTTCTGTGAGATCTGACTTCCCCCCCCAAAAGGGGACAGCCCACTCCCCTAAGACGCTGCATCATCATTTCTCTTCTGCTGATGAAACAGTCCCTAAATAAAAGTTGCAATTTTCTTTTTGTTTGAGCTTAACAACAAAAGGATCATTAGACATCACAGGTTACTGGTCAAACAGTTTCTCTGTCTTTAGTAGAGATTTTTGGGCTTCACTAGTAAACAGCACTTTTTGGTCTCCCAGCTCACCTGACTTTCTTCTAGCTCAATATCTGCTGCTCTCTGCAATATTTCTTCAGCTTTCTTCTCAAATGCTCTCCAAGCCTTCTCAATATCATTTAATTCTGTCTCTAGTTCTTTTATGTTCTGCTTTTCCTTATCACAGGATTTCTCCTTGTCTCTTAGCAATTTTTTTGACATTTCTACTTTCTTGATTTGGTAGGAAGTGTTTTCCTTTGCTTTTATATAGAGGGGTCTCTGCTGAATCAACGATGCTTCCAGAGTCCTAAAAAAAAACAAATAATAAACAAACAACAACCAACAAAACCAACAACCAAACCACAAAACCAGAATCAAAAAAACCCAGCTAACTACCATAAAATACATCCAAACCAACAAAAGCACAACAAAAAAGAAATGGAATAACCCCCTTCCAACCACACATACAAACAAAACATCAGTTGTCACTGCAGTTACTTAGCCACAGTTGATTTTTTTTTCAATATCCACTGAAAATAGAAATTTAAGTAATGAAATAAAACCTTCTAAAAATTCAATAGAAAACAAGTATTTATATGATGAAATTACTGACAACCTGGGCATGGTGGTGGAAGAAAAAAAATTAAATCACTGTCTAGATATTACTTTAGTAAACTGCTACAAAATGAATTCCATAACATTGGGGTATCACCCAACTGCTGTAACAGGAAATACACACTTGTCAAACTATTCCCACTGCAAATTATGCTTTAGCTCAACTGTCAGAAAATGTGATCAGAAAACCTACTTCAATTCTCTTTCCATGTTCTGCTGGTCTCTGTTTAGTACACCAAGCCTTTTCTTCTTGGCTGTAAATGCATCCTCTGCTGTAGAAAGAGACTCTTTTTTGAGACTAGCCTCCATGTGCTTTTCATCCAAACATTTTTTCAGAAAGCAAATGTTTTTTTCATTGTGATAAAGCCGGAAAAGCTGCAACTCTATCTTTTCCTCATCCAGTTCCTTGACAAGTGTCTGGTAATGCTCTGCCTACCAACATAAAAATTTTATTTGTGGTTTATAAATAGGATTTTTAATCATTAGCAGTTTAATTTCAAGTCCAAAGTAAGATAAAATGATGTACCAGTAACTGTATTCCATTAATGTGCACTAATCATAAAAATTACGTAAGTCAACAATTAAATGAATTAGACTGGAAAACCTACACTTTCATTTACTTCATATTTTATTTTACATTAATTATATCACCCTACCCTTTCATACTTATTACATCATACTGAAACGAATACTAGCTGAAAAACCACAAGATTTTTGTTTTTAAGAAAACCTGTATGTAAGTTCATAAAAAGATGTAAAATCCAATAACATGCAAAAAGGGAACAACTTTGAGCTACCTCCTCTTTCTCTATCTTTGCTTGCTTGCGCTCTGCTGCAATGCTTTTCTTCTTGTTGTAATTGAACTGTGCATCCTCTTCTGCTTTCTGCATTTTTTTCTTTTTCCGTTCATAGTCTTCAGCATATTCCCACGAATTACTGATCTGTTCAAAAAGTTGAGTTCTCTCCCGCGGCTTCTTCACTGCAATCGATTCTACTGTTCCCTAAAACCAAATTGAAAAAAAAAAAGAAAAAAAGCAGCACTGCTTAAAAATAAATGTTTTAGAATGTCACTAGAGGTCTTAGAAGAGGCTTTAGAAGGGAGGCTTTGGAAGGTCTATGAAAAACACCTTCAAACTAAATCAACCTGCACATATCAATATGCAGAATGACAAGATTAAATCTTTTGAGCCTCTTTCAAAGATCTGAATCTCATTAAAAAGAAAATAAAGTAACACCCTCCCAGTATTTCAAAAGCCAGCTGAAATTAATGCCCTACAAATGACATAACTGTCAAAGTTACAGCACAGATTTCCCCATGCATGAGCTACTCAAATTTTCACTGATCTGAAGGAGCTACTATTTTCAGTGAAGTACAGGAAATAGGGTTTGTGATTTTTATACTATTTCTACGTTGGGAAATGTCCTCATCATAAAAACCGTTATCACAGCAGGACTCCATATAGAGGTTTTCTGTAAAAGCAAAAAACCCCAGTTCTTCCTTGGGAATTTTCCTCAGCAACTATAAAGACAATCATGAGAAATATATTCATTTAGAGTATATGGCATTTCTGACTTATATTGTTAAATACTTGAGAACTAACCCAGCAGGATTTTCAATCCTTACAAAAATTACTGTAAATTTTCATTATCTTAACTAACAGGAGTGGTTTAAGATACAATTATCTCTTCCTATTTACAATACTCTGAAAATTTAATATACGAAACATTTATAAATAGAGTGCCACATTTTCTTATATATTCTCAATAACACAAGTACTTGATTTCTTCCAGACTAGCTTCTTTATTACCAGTGTGCTCATGTACACACAAACCCCCGTTATTTCCATTTTGTAGTCTTGTAATCTTGGCCAAGGTCAGGAAAAAATGCATTGGCTTGAAATTACCTAAGGCTGCCCTCTTTTCTGTCAAACAAGTAACTAGGTATTCCTATGAAATAATCTTGGAAGCTCTTCTTTTCTGTACAAAGTACCTTAAATGCTTACCTGAAAAATCAGGCAATTCCTAGCTTTGACAAGTATGCCTATTTTTTCAAGTTCAGATATGTAAGCAGATCGGCTGATAGACTTATTATTGAAAAGAAATTCAGAACAATTACCTAAAGGTGGAAATAAAAAAGAAATTACTACAAAATGAATAAAACATAAAATCCATAGGAAATGAACTAAACTAGTAAACAATCTAACTGTATAATTTCCTTGAAGAATAAAAGAGATTTCAGTTATTCTCTTAGTCATGTCAATAAAAATTCTAGTTGCATACTTCAAAAAGGCATGAACAGATGCTTAAGTGCTCATGCCTCCAGCAAGGTGTCAGATCCCATTTTCTAGAGCCTATACCATCTACATATTTCAAGTGAATATCAACAGATCAAAGTATGGAGCAAAGAACTTGTATTAGTCACTTGTTTAATTTTTTTAACTTTGTCTCAGTATGTTTTTTCAATTATAACACTTGGCTATCAAAATGCTATTGAAGGACTATAAGAAGTATCACGATACTCATGGGCTTAATCAACCCAAATACATAACAATATCAGGCATCTGAACTTCGAAGTTGAATATTCTTGGCCTCCATTTTTTATATATTGGACAAAAGAAAGTATGTGCAACAGAATCTACTACCTACCACGGATAACTCTTGAAAATGTTTTTTCTTCCCCATCTTCTTCGCAATATACCATCTGCACACTAGCAGTAGAAGAAACTGGTCTTCCAACATGTGCTCCATGAATAAGTTCTCGAACACTTTTAACTCGCAAATTAGATGTCTTCTCACATATCACAAAACTAACAGCATCCATTATGTTAGATTTACCTAAAAATAATTAAAACAATTGCTTTGACATGACAGAAATTAAAGGAGACATTTGATTAACAATCAACTAAAAATCACATACATAAATGCAAGTCTTTACTAATTAATGTAATATTAATATTACACATAATAAAGAAATAACACACTGGCAGCAGATAGGCCTGTCTGTAATACAAATAATCACAAAACTGATCTGTTGAACCAAGTTTTCTTACACAGGCATACATCTCTAGAGGTTTTTACTTAAACTGAGCGATCAACATCGTAATCCTGATTTTCTGTTTTCCTTTATGTAATGCAGTCACTGAAGCTTGCTGCATAAACTATCACATAACAACTTTTCCAACATAACCCGTGATCTAGAGAACACAAATACTTTCACAGATCAATTCACCACAGCAACAAAGTTCCCTGATGATATTCCTTGGCAAAATTTCTCATCATTTAGTTTTCCCCCTTTAGTCTTGAGCATTTCTGTTGAGAGCTTAATTACTTCCTGCTTTCAGCCTTGCTACTTGGCAATATTTTGACTTAATTCTCCAAAAAGTCATAAAAGGAAAAATACTAAGAGGAAAATACATGCATAAAATACCCAATTCAGGGATAGCACAACATTCATAATTTTTCACCCAGATTAATCTATGAAACGTATTCAGATTTACCAGGAAGCATACCTGGAAAAGTATCTATAATTTTGAGACTTTCCAGTATAGAACAGCTAGAACAGGAAGATAAATAATATGATAAGAATTCTAAATAACAGTTACATTTATAGGTCTGACTTCAACTAGGTAAGTGAAAAAACAACAGTATAAAATAACATTTCACTAACAGACTGGAGAAAGTAAGACCAAATGCTAATCCCATTTTGGCTCTCTGTTAGGACAATGTTCACCTCCTACTGTACTGCTCTGGCAAACATAATATAAAAATCCATAACGATCTGGAATCACATGTAAAAACTATGGCTTTTGTGGATTAAACCACAAACCAACTACCATCTTACAAAGCTACTCTCCCAGAGGCACTTACTCACATGGCAAAACCCAGAGACTCAAATAAAGCAGCACTTTTCCACTGCTACAGTTTATAACCTAGAGTATTGAAGTAAACCATCTTTAAGTGGCCTTAGTAAGTCAAACTGCAATTTGGAGTGGCAAAGACATAGGGCACTGTTTGCAACCAGCTCATTCTACAAAGGGTAAAAAGAGAAGACAACTAAAACCTAAAATTCCTTTAACCAAATTCCTTTAACCACTCCACCTCTGTCCCTCCATGCTGGAAAAAAATCTGTAATTCCAGTTGAAGAAGCAATGGCAGATCAAAAGCCTTCAAAATTTTGATTGGGCTGCCACCCCCTTGGGTGCATGTAAATGGATTTTAAGCAGGACCATGAGCCTTTACTTCTTCTTCACCAAGCCCTGCAACTCTGTTCCTCAACAAGCAAGCTGTAACCACCCCCCCCCCCATTCAGTGCAGCCATGCTGCCCCTGTTCCTGTGCCTGAACTCCTGCTGTTTCCTCCTCATGAGGCCTGTGGTAAGAGCCCCAGACAGAAACCTCAATCCCGACGGCTACACTGGAGAAACAGCCCCACACAGAGACACACGCTGCTACCTGATCCATTTGGCCCGATAATGCAGTTGAACTTCATGAAGGGGCCGATAACTTGCTGACCCCGCCACGACTTGAAATCCTTCATCACCAGCAGCTTGAGGTAACCCATCCCTGCAACAGCAAGTGGCGAGGCACTGAAACCCTTAATTCCAGCACTTTTCCAAACCAACCCCAAGACTTAAACACTCAACCAGTGTATTTTACTGGTTTATCTTCCGGGGAAGGGAAATCCCCTCCGCGTGCACTCAGCCCCCAATCCCCCCACACCTCTCCCCTCAGCCGGCACCACCGACGCCGCGCCCCCAGCGCCTCGTGCTCGCAGCCTCGAGGGGGCGGGGCCGCCGTTCCCATCGCGACCCGGTGTGTTGTTCTCCCGGCCGCGCTTCGCTCCTGGCCGTGTGGGGAGACGTGCGCTCTCTCGGCGCCATGAGCAAGCTGGTGCTGCAGCAAGAACAGCAGGAGGCCGCGGCCCTAGAGCGGCGGCGGCAGCTGGAGCTGCAGCGGCGGAGCCGCATCTTCAACGCTCGAGTCCGGACCATAGGGGTGAGGGGGCCGCGCCGACCGTGGCACCGCGGGGAGGGATGGTACTGAGGAGAGCGGTCTAAGGCGGGCGTAAACCCTAGGGCAAGAGAAAGAAGGAGGTAGCGAGGGAGTGGGGGCCCCGCTCCGGCCCAGGGCAGAGAGTGGTCGCCCCAACAGGTGGCGGGGGCGCGCGCCACCTCAGCGCCTCAGGCGAGTCCCCGAGCACGCGTGGTTGAGAGACAGGGAGGAAAACAGGGAGCAAACGCCTCTTTGCGACTTTTAGAGGGCTGAGGCTCTTGTAAAAAGTCGCTAGTGAAAGCTAGTTGTCGTCTAGGTATCGTTGGCAGTTATTTGTGGCAGCTGTCGCTGTGTATGAGAGTGCCTGTCAATGTCTGAAAGGCGGACCTGGATGAAGGGCTAAAGTGTACCCTCAGCAAGTCTGCTGATCATACAAAGCCGGGGGAAGTGGCTGACACACCTGAAGTCTGTGCTGCCATTTAGCGGGACCTTGACAGGCTGGAGAACTGGGCGGAGAGAAACCTAAAGAGGTTCAACAAGGGCAGGTGTAGGGTGCTGCACCTGGGGAGGAAGAACCCCAAGAACGACTACAGGTTGGGGGCTGACCTACTGGAGAGCAGTTCAGTTGAGAAGGACCTGGGAGTATTGGTGGATGGTGATAAATTGACTATAAGCCAGCAGTGTGCCTGTGCAGCCAAGAGGGACAATAGTCCCTAGGGTGCACTGGGAGGAGTGTGGCAGTAGGTTGAGGGAGCTGATCCTTCCCCTCTACTTGATCCTGGTGATGCCACATCTGGAGTGCTGTGCCCAGTGCTGGGCTCTTCGGAACATGAAAGACCAGGAGGTACTGAGGAGGGTCCAGTGGAGGACCACAAGGATGATCAGGGGTCTGGAGCATCTCTTATGAGGAGAGATTGTGGAAGCTGCGCCTGTTTAGTCTAGAGAAGAGCAGACTAGGAGGGGATCTCATTAGTGCAGATCAATATCTCAAAGATGGGTGCCAGACTCTCTTCAGTGATGCCGAGCGACAGGATGAGGAACAATGGCCATAAACTAAACCACCAGAAGTTTCTCCTCAACATGAAGAAGAACTTTATGTTGAGGGTAGCAGAGCACTGGAACAGGCTGCCCAGGAGGGTTGTCTTCCTCTCTGGAGACATTCAGAACCCTCCTGGATACATTCGTGTGTAACCTGCTCTAGGTGACCCTGCCTTGACAGAGGTGTTGGACTAGATGCTCTCCAGAGATCCTTTCCAACCCTGGTTCTGTGGTTCTGTCTATAGAATTAAGTAGCATAGAACCAAATGTAGAACTGGTGAAAATTAATCTGTTAACTTCTTTGGACTGGTAGAATTGCAGCAGATGTCATTTTGATCCATCTTGTCTCAGGTATGGAAATGTGTCTCAAGTCAGTGGAAAGATATCTTCACTTTATCTCTGACAGCGCCTTGGATTTCTACTTGTCATGCTTGTGCTAGCATCATTGTAGTTTCAGAGCAATATAGCAGTTACCAGTTAACGAACAGGACACGGCCACCTGGTACAGCACCCTGATACACATATATAAGCAATAAATGGAAGGAGCTAATAACCTTTTTTTAAGTAATGTGAGATGAGTATAGCAAGATAGTTCAAATTTTATCATCAGGAAACACATTTCTGGTATTTCTGTTTTTTCTAGAGCTTTAAAAACTAAATGTAAACCATAAACTCTTAGCTAATGGAATAGCTGAGAATGAAATAGCGTATCTTAGTGTATTGAGCAATACTGAAGTACACCATCTGAATACTTACCTAAAGGTTTTCACAGAACTAAGATATCAGACAGGTTTTGATAGATATGTTTACATGACACAAAGATCTGAAATCAAGAAGAGCCCATTAGAAAAATTTAGTAAATATTTTTATTAACATCATTTGATGTACCTTATTCATTGGCTGAAAAATGACTGCTGACAGAAGAGCTTATACTTGTGCTTTGAAGTTGGGCCAAGTCCAAAGTATGAAAAGTCAACAAGTTTATCTGGAGATATGTTAATATTTCCAGTGTGGTTTTAGCTTCTTTGCTTTCTCTTTCTCACAAGTTTAACTGAGTGACTGTCTCTGACAGAATTAAAAAATCAAAACGATAGTTGACTTACACACCACAAATCCGTAAGCGAGGATTGAGTAGTTTAAAAGCATGAGATGATATACTGACTGGAAAAGAGAATGGGAACCAGGATAGTAGTGTTTTTTTCCTTGGTTATTGCTAGTTTTATTATTACCTTGACCTCTGTATCTGTTTCCTCATCTGATTAAAAGTAAGGTGCCATGCTCTTCACTTCCAGATTTAATAATTTATCCCCAAAGAGTTCAGATGAGTAGTCCAAGTGAAAATTTATTTTCCGTTTATAGATGAACTATTATACATAAAGTACTCTAGAAATTAGCTGCCTCAATCTGTTTGTAGTAAGGCATTATTTATTTTAATGTTTAAAAGTTAAACCTGCAGATTTATGTGACTAGGGATGGTTGGTTTAGGATTGTGTTCTTGCTAAGTGAAAGCTGTTCAAATGGGAGAGAGCTGACAGCATAGCTAAACTTGCCCAAAGAAGTGAATACATTGACTTCCTGCACATTGCCAGAAACTACTAATGAAGTCATATTGAATTTCTCTTCACAGTGTTTCCTATAGTTATACTGAAAGCTTAGTTTCTGAAAGTAGGCCTCTAAATGAGTTGATACTTAATACCTACTACACCATTGGTTTTGGACAATGATACTCTGTAGAATTCTTTTCCTAATTGGTATCATCAGTAGTCCTTTACAGCATTAACAATGTGCATTTTCAGCCATAATCTGGTTAGGCCTTACTGTCTTGATCTGAACAGTTTTAGGCAAAGACTATAAAAATAGTTTACCAGATTCTTGGAGAATTGTCATTGTTTGTTGACAAAAGGTAACGTGAGCAGCTTAAAAAAAAAAAAAAAAAAAAAAGAAGAAATAAAATCCAGGTTTCTGCTTATTAATTTACCACCTTTGTCAACAAATACAGAACCTGGTTCTTTTGCCTAAAATGTAGATGGCTGCTACCCTTTGATGATATGATTAAGGGTGTTATGCTTTGTTCCAGGTACAGCTCTCCAGGGATGTGAATATTCCGTACCCTACCTATTGGGTCATTGTAGATGCCTGCATGTATCTGAAATGGCACCCAGTGTTGTGTTTTGGCAACTACGGGAAACTACATGGCAACTCTATCAAATTAGAAAATTTCTTTTTCGTTCCCCATTATTTTTCCAACGTGCTTTTAGTGAACCACCTATATTTTTTTCAAATCCGAACTATTATACCTTCCTGTCATCTTGACTGTCAAAATGCTTACCCACTTTATAATCAAAAGCAGAACAACAAGAAAAAGTAAAAATGCCAGTTAAAAGGGGTAAAACGTATTCTCTGTAATGCAGCATAAAATGTTTATAGATCTATATATCATGTAAATATGGTATTTAATTCTCATTTGGTGCAAGAATATGCCTGTCATTATTAAAGTGAAGCAAGCAAACAGGACTATTACTTTTTCCATGCTTTCTTTTTATGTCACTCACATTAAATAGTGATGTGTATATGCTGCGTTGGTAGTGCCTTTGTATCTATCTTGTGCAACTGTGAATCAGTGTAGCTTGACAGTGCCTGTAATTGTTCAATCCTAGTATCTCCTTCAGAGCTGCTTTTTTTTTTTTTTTTTTCATTTTAATAGGTTGATAAAGATGCACTGGATACCCAGGTTAAGGAGAGGAAAATTCAAGAAGCAGCTGAAAAAGCACGAAATGAAGAACTTGGTATATTCATAGATACAGTGATATTTCTGTGAATTGATAAATGTAATATAACATCTGTTTCCTGCTTGCTTTTTGCCTTCATGTATTTCCAGCTGCCATATTTATTTCCAAATGGAGCCTCTCTCCTTGAATCTTGCTATATCAATCAAGATACATATATATATATAGATAGATATACATATATATATATAAAGGCAAATTTGTGGGCTTTTCTCTAAATTCAGACATACAAAGGGAATTCTATAATATATAGTCCTATTTAAGTTCACATATTTGTATTGGTAAATCATGTGTTTTCCTCAGTATCTTGAAATTTATATCGAGATGGTTAAACTGGTATACGTTTCCTCATAGGCTGGAATTTTCAGTGTTTTCTTTTAAAACACTAGTGATTGTCAAATAGCATTGTTTAGAGACCTGAAGGTATGGGAGGATTAAAAAAAACGACTTATTACTGTTCTCAGAATAGTAGTGGCAAACTTGTTTGATTGCTTTCTTGTAAAGAAAGTCTGTGTTCTGTCTGGCCATTCTTCAGTAGAATATACAGACTCTATAGAATTCTCTATAGATTATTCTTACTAGAAGTCATGTACAACAAGGTTGTACGCAGGCTTTGCTAAGTCAGAACACACAGATATGCAAATATTTCATATGTGTCCCCTGACCTCAAAACCCTTTGGAGCCCTCTGTGTTTGGAATGCTTTCCTGGGATATCATGTGAAAAGGTCCCACAGACTGAGGTCTCTGTGGGTTCCAAGAAGAGCTAGAATGGAGCTGCCAATTTCCATCCTGTACTTCAAGGGCTGCTTGTGATTTTCCTGGCAGAATACCTGTCAGACAGACTCCCAGGAAACTGCCAGAAGCAATGTGTAGTCTGTCAACAGCGGAAATGATCTTTTCTTGTGAATTATATTTAAATGGCTAAAATGGCTAGTGTGAGGTGGGGGATGTTTTTCTTTCAAACTGAATTATGTTGGTTAAATGAGCAAGAGCTATTAAGCTGTTCAGAAACTGTTAGTGCCTGCTAATTATTTTAGTGCTATGTTAGAAAAATGATTTGAACTATGAAATAACTATCTGTATTCCTTTTATTTGGAGCCCAAAAATATTATCTCAGTTATGACCATAAACTTAAATAAATGGGAAGAATTACTATACAGTCCATTTCACGAGTTACTACAAGTTTTATTCAAATGAAGCCCCACAGTTCTAGAAGTACTTACTGTTGTCTTTGCTTCACAAGCATATATTTCATTGTAGCATTAATAAAAGAATTGATACCTAAAAAACTGAAAGTATGTTAAAAGTAGATGTTACTAGCATTAGAGTGTTTGCTGGGCTGGTACTCATAGATGAAGTACTCCTTCTTAAGGTATAAGTTTGAAGACTTAGATACTATTTATTCCTCTTCAAAATTTTATTTTCCATTTTACATGTACACTTCTAAGAGTTGTATTTTTATTGTGTTTGTTTTTCTCTAGCTAATGAAATGAAGCAGAATTACAAGATCATGTGTATGTTAGAAGAACGACATAAAAATGATATCAGAAACATAAATAAGGCTGTCAGTGAGTTTCAGAAGAATTTGCAGAAGCCAGAAATGAGGCGTGAATTTGACCTGAATGATCCGCAAGCCCTAAAGAAGGACAGACCTGCTCGAGTTTCAGATGATGATCCTCGATGTACTGTATCTGGCTTGCAGAAGTTTTTGGGTGAAGATTTAAACTATGATCAGAGGATGAAATTTCAAAAGGAGCAGTTAAGAGAGTGGTCTCTTCAGCAACAGAAAGACTTAAAGAATGCATTAGCTGATCAAAAATTTGCAGGTAACAAAGGAAGATAATGACGTTTTAATCTTCTTTTTCTGAAATTCTGATGTATCTGACAAAAATATGGTATAGCGCATTGTGTCAGTCTGACATAGCAGTATTTTAATGTATTCAGTATTTAACTTTTAGAAATCCTGCAGCAGTTTTTACTTCACAAGCTGTAATGCATTCAGTTATCTCACTTAAGAAATCTATATTTAATAACGTGATTGTAATATTACCTGCGTTTCATTTCTGTTTCATGCCTCAAATGATGTATTGGAGCATGCTGAAAAATCATCTATATTTTGCATGCCAGATGGCATGTTTACTTCATCAGGCCAGATTGTTCAGTTTTTACTGTTCTATAGCAGACCAAATAATACCGTATTTTCTTTTCTTGCTTGTCATGAAACATTTTTTTCTGCAGTACTTACCATACTTTTTCATTTTAACTTCTGTACTGTTAAGACAAGATAATGATTTAATGAGTCATCTAAATAATGATTTAATGAGTCATCTGAAATTCCAAGATGGAAAGCTTTGGTGGTGGGATTTGGAAATCCTATGTAATTCAGCCTACAATGCCTGGAACTCCCCTGTCTGTCGCCCCCTCTCTCTTGTCTTACTTCTCTATCACATTATGTCCAAGAATATTGACTAAATTTAATTCTAATCTAATTTAGATGATCTTCATGACAAATACAGGATTGCACTTGACCAAAAGACTATGAAGCAACAACAAAAAGAAGAAGAAAAGAGGCGTGCTGTTTGTGCAGCTACTAAAGATTTCAACAGAAACCAGGTAAATTAGTTTTGGGTTTATTGGTTTGTTTTGTTGGGGTTTTTTTAAGTGGAAACAGAAGTAAACTAAGATGTGCAAGAGTACAATGAGTAATAGTGTTTTCACAGAGGTTCTTAGCAGCTAACTACCAAGGTTTTTCCAGTAACTGGAAGATAGATTCTATTTGCTTTGTCCCCTCCAAGGATCTAGCTATTGTCTGTCTACTTACCCTCTGTCAAAATTCTATCTCCAATTTCTCAGCTTGCTGACTAGAAGGCAGCAATAACTCCCCAATCTTTCAGGGACTTCCAGTCTGTAAACTCAGCAAAAGAGCAGAAGCCTCCCAACATTCCTTCTCGTTTTGTATCAGTTGTCAGATCATCTTAGCTGTGTCTGCCTGCTTTTCTTTCTGCTTGGAACCATTGCTACCAGTAGGGGTTTTTGTCTTTATTGAAGTTAATTCCCCTCACCCACTGTTTTTGGCACTTTGACTTCTTCCTTGGTATTTGTGCACATCTCTTGCTTGTTTACCAAGCATGTTTTGGAACCTGTTGAAACAGGACATGAACCTTTATCTGTCTTAGTACCATTACCTGTCATGCCTCAGTTCTTTACCTTACTGCAAAGATTTATTTTTTTTTATGTGTAGCTTATACACACAGCTCAAAGGACTACATGGAGGCTATTACTTTGGTTAAACTGTATTTGGTGTGACTTAGCTTTAAATTTATTTGGTCATGTCAAAATAAGCCATATTAAAATTACCCACTTCAACTACAGTATCTTTTTGTTTAAGTATATAAGCATGCAAGTGTGTAAGCGTTGCTTGAGCCTTTCGGGGAACATTTGCCATATGGTAACTGGAAAGGCTTTTGCTGCTTGAAGTCATGGCTACTGAACAGTATTTTATATGAATAGCCTCAAAAGTACCCTAAGTGGCTGGTACATTTAGGGTAGCAGTAGTATCCCAAATAAATTGATTCCATGGAAAAATTCCGTGTGATATGGTTTGGGGATAGGGTGGTAGGTTTGTGTGTGGTATGTGTTTTAATGTAGGGACGTATACATTCTACACAACCGGTGTGCATTTTAAATATATTCAAAAGTCTTGGTCTGTTTTTTTTCTAGTATAAGAGCGTGATAGTGGAGGTAAGGGCAACAGTCTCCTGTTAGTTCTTATCGAAACATGAAAACCAGAGGTTTCAGGTTGCCAGGCCTTTCAGTGATGTTGACTTTAAGAGAAAGCTATGTTATGAAGGGATTTTCTATGCGTCTTTTTCCCATGACAGGAAACTAAGGCATTCAGCCCAAGGTTGCACTTCCCAGGATAAATCTCTGTATCTGACCTCAAATGTATCGAATGGGAGTCTTCAGCAGTTTCAGCATTCTGAGCAGCCAGTTTGAAGACCTTAACCTCTTGAGAGTGCAGTCTCAGACTGCATTTTGCTCTACACATATCTGCTTTAGCTGTTGGTGGCTGCCAAGAGAGGAACTCCTTTTTCCTGTTCACTGAGTTTCATCCATTTTTTTTCTTCTCTGTCTCTTCCAGTTGATCTAATGATTATGAAGTTTCAGGATGTGTTGGATCATTTCTCAAATCCAAAAGGAAATTAACTGGTCTAGAATGTGTGACTGCTAGATCTGTGAGGTGTGAATGCACAGTCTGAGGTGCCAGTAAAGGAGGGGAGAAAGTAACACTACCCTTTCTAAGGCAATCTTCAGTTATTGTAATTTGGATAAAGTCTAGTATGGGAGTGCATCTTCAGAGAGGAAGAAATTTGCTAGAATTTGGCTTTGGATCAGCCACTGTCTCCGTGGCCATCCTCTGTAGACCTTACAGTTGCCAGTATCTTTAGGGGATGTAAAGAATGAAATATTAAAAAAAAAAGTAAACCCCCACAACACAACAAACCCAAACAAACAACCAAAAGAAAAAAAGGCAAAACAAAACATAAAACCCAGCCAGTGATGTACACCAGGAGAAACATGTTTTAGCCAATCTGCTAGTCAGTTAGTGAAAAATCCCAGCAGATGGGTGAAGGTACCTCAGTTCTTCACAGCCTGCTTCAGTACAAGATTTGATGTTGCTGCCCCTTGTGACAGTGGTTCAGCTTCCATACATAATACCACTGCCAGTGACTTTATTGCTAAGAAGTTTATCTTAATGGTTCTTTTTTGTTCTTCTTGAATTAATTAGTAGGACAATTAATTGATATGTTTAGTGCCATATTTCACAGTAGTGAAGGATCCTGTACTGTGAACATTTTAAATGTGTGTGGTTTCTAGAAAATTAATGTTATCCTTCCTCTGAGGGTTTCTGTCATCTAAGTATGTATTAACCAGGACACCAATAATGCTTTTGTCCTTGGTATAAGAGAAGACCTCTACTAGCTTAAGCTGTCAGTTATCCCTGCTGAAGTTATTCATAAGAAGTAGTAATCATTTTAATTTGGGAAGCCAGGTAACACAAATGAAGACTATGTGAAGTCCTGACTAGAACATGTATTTTTCACTGCCTTTGATGTGATTCCGTAGCAGAATCTTATCATTGCAGAAAGGGTTTCTCCAGAAAGGATAGTAACACTTGGAAGTGCCCAGTTTAGCAGTACAGTGATAGATGCACTGATCGTGTTGTTGAAATCAGAGTCATTTTGCTTTATATAGCACAGGATTTGAATCCTTTCCAAGACACTTTGTAGATAATGCTAAGAAAATGAGAGGATATTATTACAGAGGATCTCTAACTTAATGACATCATATTTATAGACTTGTTAACAGTCTTATAGACCATATGTCCTTAGAATTTATTCCTGTGCATACCACAATAGCTTAATAGTTTTATGATAATGTTGTTACAGACATTTGATGGCATTATTGTGGTTCCATATATACTCAACATTACGCTGTTACTAACACATTCAGGGCCAGCAGCCACTTCAGGGAAACATTTGTTTTGTTTTGTTTTTTCAGGGTTTGAGTAAATTATGTACTTGCATTAACTCTAGAGCATTTTTTTTCAGTTGAAATTAAATATTTGAATGCCTAAACACAGAATAAGAATGGGAACTTTTTGTCATTCTTTGAAGTGTGGTGTGCAAGTATCTTTTATCACTTTTATCCTATTCTTCATAGTCACTGTCTAGAATCATCATTATTTCAATTTTTATCACATTTTCAGGCAAGAGGGAACATAGTGCACATACTGATTTTTAACAGAGCTTGCTAAGCGAAATTCCTAGGTTGAATGTGCTGGATGTGCAATTCGCTGCTATAAGTATCTCATGTAATATGTCTACGTCATGTATAGTATGTCATGTCTATGTATAGTAAATACAAACGAATTGTATTTACTACACATATTAATAATACTCTTTCACAAGTTCCTAAGATCCTGGAGAGGTTACTCTGGTCATCTATGAGCTTTGTGCTTCTCCTTTCTGGAGACATTCAAAATGCGCCTGGATACCTTCCTGTGTAAACTGCTCTACGTAGCCCTGCATTGGCAGGGGCTTGGACTGGATGGTCTCCCAGGGTCCCTTCCAACCCTAGTGATTCTGTGAAAAGCACTTCAGAAGCTGTGTATTCCTTTAGGCCTGTGTTGCCAGCAGTTAGTTCCTCACACAATTGAGACTGAGGTTGGGCAGAGAAGAGATTCGGAGCAGCCCTGCAGAGAAGGACTTGGGGGTTCTGGTCAATGAGAAAATGAACATGAGCCAGCAGTGTGCACTTGTAGCCCACAGAGCCAACCATATCCTGGGCTGCATCAAAAGGATCGTGATCAGCAGGTCCAAGGAGGTGATCCTGCCCCTTTACTCTGCCCTCGTGAGACCTCACCTGGAGTATTGTGTGCAGTTCTGGTGTCCTCAACATAAAAAGGACATGGAACTGTTGGAACAAGTCCAGAGGAGGGCCATGAGGATGATCAGGGACTGGAGCACCTCCCATATGAAGATAGGCTGAGAAAGTTGGGGCTGTTCAGCCTGGAGAAGAGAAGGCTGTGTGGAGATCTCATAGCAGCCTTCCAGTATCTGAAGGGGGCCTAAAAGGATGTTGGGCAGGGAATCTTCAGTAGGAACTGTAGTGACAGGACAAGGGCTAACAGGTTAAAACTTAAACAGCGGGAGTTTAAATTGGATATAAGGAAGAAGTTCTTTACTGTGAGGGTGCTGAGGCACTGGAATAGGTTGCCCAGGGAAGCTGTGAATGCTCCATCCCTGGTGGTGTTCAAGGCCAGGTTGGAAGGAGCCTTTGGTGACATGATTTAGTTTGAGGTGTCCCTGCCCATGGCAGGGGGATTAGAGCTAGATGATCTTACGGTCCTTTCCAACCCTAACTATTTTATGATTCTAATATTTGGTGGTGTTATAAGCATGTGAATTCATGTCCTCTTAATTCTTCTATGTGCATTTCTTTTTTTACTTTGTGACGTGAATCAACAGCAAAAGGAAGCGTTTAGTAGTAGGGAAGATGTATAATGTTGTATCATAAATTAAAATAAATAAAGGAGTGTTTATTTGTGCATCTATTTGGTTTTGTTTTGTTTTCTTTCCATGCTACGCCAATGAATTATATTTTATTAGGGATTTCACTTGATAAGTGAAATCTGATGCATTTTCTGAGTTTAAAATCTTTTGTTTGTGGTGTCATGGCTATGTGTAGAGCTGAGATTTTCCTCCAGTAAGATTCCCAGGCAGTTCAGAAATTTTAGTCTTTTCCTCTTACTGGGAAGGTTAGGGTTACAATGTCTAAATGCTTTTTTTTTTTTGTTTATCTATTGCTAGATCAAAGTGCAGTGACAAAATGATCTAAATAAAAATTTTACATTTTAAGTTTTAGGGTCAGTAATTCCATAAGGTACATCCAGAATTACTTTAAGTGTGATTTACTCTGGAGTGTTTTCAGAACTAAAAATAATTGCTTGATTCATAGTATTAATAAGCTACAAGTACATACCCATATATTATGGTTCCATGTTCCCAAAATATTGGATGATTGAAAATCTTTGAGGGTTTTGTTTTTTTCTTGGAAGCTGTAATGTTGTAGTTCCTCTCAAGTTATTATCGACTCTTCTGGAGGAAAAAACCCAACTTCAGGGAAACACATTTTGGTTTAAAAGTATAGCTTTAGAGTTCTGGTAAAAAAATGTACTTACTGACTTCAGTGAGACAAAAACATGGCCTTTAGTTTCCAAGGTATTATTCCATGTTCTGATGGCAGAGCCAGTAATTACTAGATCTGAAGTTGATGCTTTGCCACTTTAAATTTTATTTGCTTGTTTTTCCACTTGTCTAAAAGTAGAAATTTTATTTTCCTGCTCCAAAGTGTATGTTCCTATTAGATGGCTGTTAAGTGTTTTTAAGTATGAGGTTTTCTGCATCATCGAAGTTGCAGTTGTGGCTTAGGTAATATATACTTCTAAAAATAATAAATATATCTTTTATTAGTTTCTTTGTGCGTCAAATACTTTTGTTATTTTAATGAAAACCACAAGGCTGATTTCAGCCACTGAATTTATTAATCTAGGATACAGTTCTCAGTGTTATTTGTTATTTCTTCTTCTGTACGGTCCCTGGCAGGTTGTTGTGCATGTTGGCATGGAACAAATAGAAGTCACACTTTGAATCTTCAGGCTTGATGCCTGGGACAGCTCCTGTCATCCAAACTCAAAGTCTGTAAATATAAATGTAGAGAGAAAGCCAGGTCAGCAGTCTCCTCTGGTGGCACAGATCACTGTGCTTGCTGAGGATTCTACTCCATAATGTTTATCTCTTCTAGTTACTCTGCCTACTAATTTTCAACTTCACCTATGTGCCACAGAATGCTATTTTTACCTACTGTGACTTCTTGATGCCTAAGCCTTAAATTTTCATTTGTCCTCATCAGCTTCCTAAGTGTGTGTGCCAAACAGTGAACTACTAATTGGCAAGAAAAGTGGACTGCTGTTGTATTTAACTCATACAGTGAATATTCTCAAGCCAGTTACTATTTTTTTTTTTTTAACAGAGCTTGAGATAATCTTGGGCAAACTTGGAGAGATAGGTAGTCACTGATCTGTTGCAGTCAAGGTAAATGTATAAAGCTACATATGTGAGACACAGGTCTGGTAACCTGTGCTTTCTGAGCCCTGGCAAAGAGGGGATTACCTGTCTGCTGTCCAGATGGAAGCCAGCACCATAAATTTTTCCAGATGGTTTAGTTCATGCATTACAGAAGAATGAGACATGATTAGAAATGGATGATGCATATATATTGTCACTGTACTTCAAATTAGTTTACTTAGTCTAATTCTTCTTTGGAAGGTAATTTAAAGTAAAATCACCATTATTTGGTTTCTGAAGTTTTGCCAAGGGGAAAACTTCCTCTGAATAGGAGGCTATGAACTCATAGTGGTCATTAGGGACAGTGCTTTCCATAGGAAGTGCATATTGTGATTTCTGGTACTACAGATCATCATTCAAGTTTGCATTTTGTATCAGCAAAGAGAACAGATTGAAGGCTGCCTCTTCAGGCTTAACATAGGCATCACTTTTCTGTTTGGCTGTTGTGAGTGCTTAACCATACTCTTCACATAGATTTAATATCTAATATAGAATCATAGAATAGTTAGGGTGGGAAAGGACCTTAAGATCATATAGTTCCAACCCCCCTGCCATGGTCAGGGACACCGCCAGGGATGGAGCATTCACAGCTTCCCTGAGCAGCCCATTCCAGTGCCTCAGCACCCTCACAGTAAAGAACTTCTTCCTTATATCCAATCTAAACTCCCGCTGTTTAAATTTTAACCTGTTAGCCCTTGTCCTGTCACTACAGTTCCTACCGAAGATTCCCTGCCCAGCATCCTTTTAGGCCCCCTTCAGATACTGGAAGGCTGCTATGATGTCTCCATGCAGCCTTCTCTTCTCCAGGCTGAACAGCCCCAACCTTCTCAGCCGATCTTCATATGGGAGGTGCTCCAGTCCCCAGTCATCCTCGTGGCCCTGCTCTGGACTTGTTCCAACAGTTCCATGTCCTTTTTATGTTGAGGACACCAGAACTGCACACAATACTCCAAGTGAGGTCTCACGAGAGCAGAGTAGAGGGGCAGGATCACCTCCTTGGACCTGCTGGTCACACTCCTTTTGATGCAGCCCAGGATACAGTTGCCTCTGTGGGCTGTGAGCGCATGCTGCCATCTCATGTTAAGTTTCTTATCAACCAACACCCCCAAGTCATTCTCCGCAGGGCTGCTTTGAATCTCTTCTCTGCCCAACCTGTAGATGTGCCTGGGATTGCTCTGACCCTGGTGTAGGACCTTGCACTTGGTGTGGTCGAACTTCTTAAGACTTGCATCAGCCCACCTTACAACTGTGTTGAGGTCCCTCGATGGCATTCCTTCCCTCCAGTGTATCAACTGAGGCATACAGCTTGGTGTCATCAGCAAACTTGCTGAGGGCACACTCAATCCCACTGTCCATGTCAGTGACAAAGATGTTAAACAAGACCGGTCCCAACACCGATCCCTGAGGGACACCACTAGTTACTGGTCTCCAGCTGGACGCTGAGCCATTGACCACAACTCTTTCCGTGTGGCTATCCAGCCAGTTCTTTATCCACTGAGTGGTCCATCCATCAAATTGATGTATCTCCAACTTAGAGACAAGGATGTCATGTGGGACAGTGTTGAACGTTTTGCACAAGTCCAAGTAGATGACATCAACTACTCTACTCGCGTCCATCAGTTCCTTAGCCCCATTCTAGAAGGCCGCCAAACTGGTCAGGCAGGATTTCCCCTTGCTGAAGCCATGCTGGCTGTCACCAAGCACCTTGTTGTTTTTCATGTGCCTTAGCATGCTTTCCAGGGGAATCTGCTCTAAGATTTTGCCAGGCACAGAGGTGAGACTCTCAACGCCACTGATTCAAATTTGTGAACTTTTATCATAAATTTCTTCCATATTGTGTCTGGCCTCCATATATCCAAACTGGTATTTGCTTGTCGATAAATGTGAAATTATTTTTTATTAATCCTGTCTTTTCTTAAAAACCAAAATTATTTCTCCCCAAATTACTTGCTATATGTGATATGACAATACTGAAGAAATGTATGCCATTAGATTTTTTGATCCTAGCCAGTAGTACCATGATCACAGGGATGCTATTGACAACTGTATGCAAGTTGGAATGAAACTTGTTATGATGTGCTGACTTTGTTGATCCCTTTGTTTCCCTCTTGGAAGAACTCTTAGTTCTCTCCTTTCACTCACTTTAGGCTGCTGAACTAGCTGAGAAAAAGAAGTTGGAAAAGAATCAAAAAATGAAAGATGACATGAATGAAATTTCCAGCCTCCTTCAAGGAGATCTACTTTCTGAAAACCCTGACCAAGCAATCAGTTCCTTTGGTACACATCGTGTGATAACAGATCGATGGAAGGGAATGAATCGGGATCAACTGAGGGCAATCCGTGATACTCAACAGCAACAAGTTCTGGAGAAACTGGTATTTAAGCTTACTTGCAGATTCTGTATTCCTGGTTGTAATAATAAACAGTGTTTGTTGAAGAAAATATTATTGCTGGCCCTGTGTGTCCCATTGTAAGACTATTTTCCTTTGAGCTGAATTTTACCCAAATGAAACTGAATACAGTGTCTCTGAAGCAGCTGGGAAATGTCATGGAGCATCAGAAGTGGGCTGGAGCCCTGGAATTGTGCTGGGAGGAAGGTTGCTGTGTAGCCCAGAGTGAAGGGACCTGGGGGATCTTAGGACATGTTCTGTGATGTCTTAGCTGAGGAGAAAATTCTTACACAGCCCAAGACTAGGCTTCATGGTGCAGCTCAGGACTTGAGACTTCATGAGCTGTCTACAGGGAATGAGAAGGGTGGGTGGCTCCATAGGTGAAGAGCCACAAGCAGCGAGTGAAGGCAGGGCAGACCAGAACAGTGTTCTCATGCTCAGGGGAGCTCAAGCAAGACAAATAGAGCAGGTCCAATGATACTGCTCATGCACGTTTTAGTCTTAAAAGTTCATAAATGTGAAAGAATTTCTTTTTTACTGTCCCACACAACTGTGAGCCATGCTCTGGGATAGAATTACAATAGAAAAACTAAATATTGCCAAAAAATTGCTGCTCTAAAGGTGAATGGAAGCAGGCAGTCAAAATGAAGAAAGCTATTGTTCCTGTGCAGACATGAGCATACAGGCCTAGGTATTGTGAAGTAGGAAGCTACTGCTAGATAAGACATTGAGTGCAGAGGCTGGATTCATAACAGCTAGTATGTAGCTGTTGATTTTTGATTTCTTAATCCCTAAAGTGCCCTATGCTGCATTATGTCTTATCTAGTGCTGTAATTAAAGCTGAAGATAAGGGAGTTGTTTTCCTGGCTTTCCGGTGACCCTAAAGTAAGCCCATTCAAGTAGTTAAGCTGGCAGAAAATGAGCCCCTCCAAGAAAAGGGAGTTTTTTGCAGCCTGGTTTCTTGAATTAGTTCAGTATGATGTCAGACAAAGAAGTGAGGAAGTGATAGTGTAACGGGGGCAGAGGAAAGCAGTTTGGGTCTACTCATCTGGCGTCGGTGGCTCAGTTATTACACCACATTAGCTGTATTACAAGCCATACTGATGTCTACTAACTTCCGACCTCAAGAAGTTACAACTCTTGCTAATAAAAACTTTAAAAAACCCACAAGCCAACCTGTCTTGCTGCTCTGGGTTTTTTGAGAGATGTAATACGTTAGAGAGGAATATTGATTAACTTCTGCTAGGCAGCAGACCCTAATTTTCTTGTGCAGAGGCAGGAGTCTGTCTTGCTCCCTAGAAAAGGATGGCTTTCTCATCTGCAGTATCCTACTTCTGCCTAACGCATGAGCTCCCACCTAGTTTGGAAGTGCTTACTTTTTCTCCCTATTTCAAATGCTACCCCTAGTGTTCAGTAAAGGCAAGCAAGTTTGTAAGGAATTTACCAATCAGCCTTTATATATAGTTTCATCTTTGAACAAAGAGAAAACTAAACTTTTTTTTTTTTTCATTCCTGAAGAGACAAAACCAGGAAGAACGCCGAGTTGATGCTGAATGGGACAGACAAAGAATAAACACTGCAAAAGCACAGCTGATTTTAGAGCGGCATCTACAACGACAGAATCGGGAGCGGCGCCGAGCTTTAGATAACATGAATGCAGACATATCTCAGGAGCAGAAATCAAAGTAAGTACCAGAGGAGTTTTCTTCTTTTCAAATAAAATTCTTTACCATTAACACAGTACCTTGGCTTTCAAAGAGCTTTTTCACTTGTATTGATTGTAACTTTTTAAATACACTTGTTACAAGTTTATACTTGAAAGAAAAAAAAAAGAACAGTTCAGCTTAAGTGTGGTTTTCAGTACTGTTTAAATAATCTTCAAAGAGTAGCTTATGATTTTTACTGAATTACATAATTAATAATTGGAATTCTTAAAAGGGTTCTACTGACAACAGATGGTTTATGTAGATAGCAAAAATAGAGCATAAATACAGTTATCTATGTAGGAAATTATCAGGTGTAATACAGCACATATTTCTTAAATTTGCCTAAGTTTTCTGAAACAAAAAAGGGTGGGCATCAGTAGAACTGCCAGTTTTTGATAGCTTGGAACACAAATGGAGCTTTGCCATTTGTGTATAACAAAACTGTGTGATTCTTTAGCTAAGAGCTGGACATGTCTTGGTGGACAGGTCTTGTGTCTGCTGTAAGGGGAAAGGAGGAAGAAGGAAAAAAAAATCCAGGTGATTCAGTGTTCTCTGTTTTTTATTTTGTTTGGTTGGTTTTTTTTCCCATCATACATGCATACATGGGTTTTACAAAAGAATTTCCAGTATCCATTCATAATTGTGTTAATTTATTTTTTCACTGTGAAATTTTTCAAAGGTTGTTTTAGGATTGAAAGAAGTTTCCTATATTGAGATGTGGCATACATTTTGGAGGGAAAGACCTAGTTTATTGAATTCCATTATTCTGAATTTTATGAGCATTTATGAGTGTTTATGCATAACATTTTCAGGTTTTTCAGGTTACCTCTATATACAGTAACGAGAAAAAATTATTAACTGCATTTTTTTTTTATTCATTGCCAGGAACATTTATCTTAAAGAAGAAGAATATTCAAATTATCCAACAGACGAGTATTTCGCACAGTTTAATACAACTAGCCGATGACATTCTGGGTAAATCAACCTGAAATATAGAGAAGTATGTAGACATATTAAAATTGTTAATTGAGCAATCCCATGGTTTTTTATTTTTAACTGTTTCCTACCCTGTGCAAACAGTGCACTCAAACTAAAGGACAGTCTGCTAGGCCACATGTGTTCGAAGAAGAGGAAAACACTGTCATAATTTTTAAACTTGATTGTTTTTCTATCAAAGTGCTAGTAGTTCAGTAGTAGGTTGGTTGACTGTTGTGTCTCAGGCTTAACTGTGAGGTTTACATTATACATGCCTTTAGAAATCCATTTCTGTAAAGGAATCCCAATTTAAAAATACGATGCTACTTGATGCACTTGGGCAGAGGAGAACGCTGCCTGACATGGATCACAAGTGGTTCACACTTAGCAGATTCTATGGGAAGGAAGAAAGATGACCTAGGCAGAAAGTTTTGGGGTTGTTTGCTTGGGGGCTTTTTGTTTTGATTTTCTTTTTAGGCTTTGGTGGGTTTTTTTGGTTTTGGTTGGTTGGTTTTAAGTAAAAGAAAATCCAGCCAGACACAAAAGCAAGCAAAGAGAAAGAAATGGAGAAGTTGGTCAAAAATACTGCTTTTATTTCCTGAATATTAGGAGTAAGAAGAGAAGATTTTGACAATTACCCTGGTGTTATAGCAGGGGCACGACACAGAAATGGAATGTGGGTAATTGTAAGTAGGGAAAAGAATGAGGGAAAGTATTGCTGCATACACTGGCACTCATTAGAAATAACAGAGAGTATTTAAGGGCAGTGTGCCTCTGAAGGAAAGTGTAGGAAGAGTTTACAGATGTGATGGAAGGGGGTGGGCAGGAAAGGAATCAGGCATGCACTAAACAAAATCAAGGAGAAAAATCTCAGGTTGTGCACAGTAATTCAGGGAAAGAGTTTCCTTCCTAACTTCATGGTTACAGAATTTATTTAGCAATGGAAGAGGCAGTCAATGGTATTTGAAAAATGAGCAAATGAAGCCCATGGGAAGAAAATATGAAGAAGCAATGTAAGAAACTAACTGCACAAGAGAAATGGATGATGGAGATAACCAGAAAATGAAATTCAGAAAGGAAAGTGATGACGTACAGAGGACTGGAAAAAAGATTAGAAGACTTAGTGATCTAAAACAGAAAAAAGAGAGAGAGATGAGAGATTCAGCTAAACATCCAGAACCTCTAGGACTGTCAACCCTTCATAAAAATAGAGAGGCCATATATTAGAATAGATCTTAAAGTAAATCTGTGTAGCTTTCCAGAATCTGGGATATAAACTTGGGGTAAAAACATCCTGTTGACATTGGCATACAGTCTGCTGGCTTTTCTTTGCATCAGCCTAAGTGGTAACTGAATTCTGGTAAAACAGTTTGAAGATGACTATGCCAAGCTAAGTAGAAAAGGCATTTAAAAAAGCAGAGGCTGAGGTAAACTCTAATGAGTTATTCTCATCTTTGTGAAAATAATGAAGACTGTATGGTTCTCAAGATTATTAGGAGGATTTTGAGATGTTTGAAGGAAGAATTCCTTGAAAGGGGACTGTTTAAACAGGTCTGTTTACTTTCCTTGAAAGGGGGCTCTTTCAAAAGAGGTCTGCTTGCTCAGCTGAAATAGTGGCCCTGTGGGATCAGGCTGATAGGACTAATTACCATTTTGAACCAGGTGATAACAGCAGGAGTTTGGAAAAGACCATCGTTAATTCCTCTAAATGGAGAGGAGGAAGAAAATCAAGGAAAACATGAAAAGGGATAAAATGTGTCTTGGGACAAGATAATCTATAGCAAAAAGATATGTCCCAATTTTACTATATTAATACTACTGGAACTAATTGCAGTATAGATAGAAATAGGTAGAAAAGCAGCATTGCTGGAGAACAAGAACTGAAGAATGGGCTATTCAGAAAAGCTGGAAGATAAAGCTGAGAGAGGATCACACTTGCATTGTTAATGATGAGCCAGACTACAAAGAAGTAAGAAGGGATCGTATTCAAGAGATTCTCATGTGTTAGCATTTGGAGATCCATTTATTTGTCAGACTGGGATTCACACATGGCTGGATGTCTTTGCAGTATTAACAAATACTGTATTGAATTGGTAATCTCAGTTCAACTACAAGTTGGTTTGTATCTGCATTGAATATTTCAGGCTCTGATTTTTATTTTTTTTTTCAACAGAAAAACTAATAAATTGTTTAAAAATTCATGAAGTTGTCTTTGTCTGTCCACCTTTATACGAGTATGCGTTTACAGCTGTACAGTTTAACATACTGCTGGACCTAGTCAAATGACATTTTTATTCCTTCAGAAAGGACTGTATGATTAAAGCCTTTTTATATTTACCTTCTTGCTAGCATAAAAACTTTTTCTGTGAATTTACAAAAATGATAGATTTCTCAGTTGAACTATGAATAGGCCTTAGATAGAAATTCAAGTAAGGAGACTCTGCCAATTCAATAATTGGGTAGGATCAGCCATCACTAAATTCCGTGGAAAACTTTTAGCATAATCCGTCATACTTGCAAGAACAACCATGCTACATTCTACTTGTTTTAGAATGTAAAACCTGAAATCTATTTTGAATGTTAACAAAAAAACACAGTCAAGTTGTAGAAAACATGCCTAAAGTAAAGTGAAAAAGGTCAGATTGTTGTTGATATTTTATGCCAACTTGTTCTGTTTTGCATGGAAACAATTCATATTTTCAGTAGATGTATCTCAACATAGTAGGTGATAACAACGGGGTGCAGGAACTTCTCAAAGCTATTTGGTTCTATAACAATAAGGATGTGGACTGGCATTTTCAGCTTTTGAAATGTCACACTTAACTGATGAATACTGAAATAAGTAGACACGATGTATCAGAGAAGCATTAACAGATAGTAGGGGCTGTTTGAAAATGTTTGTTGGCTTCCATTACTGAGGTATCTTTTTTTTTTTGGTATCTGTTACGTAATCACAAATTTAATTTACAAGTCAACATGGCAAATTACTCATAGACAAAAGGACACATAGATGTTAAAACTGGAAAAAAATAGTTTCTAAATTGGGAAAAAAATCAGTTTCTGAAATAATAAACTGCATGTTACTAAGTTTTCCTAATTTTCCTGCTGCAAAGACGAAATAAATTTTATTTACAGCTATTAGTGAAATATTACTAGTATTTTCTTCTTATCTAATGTTACTTCAGTAATGCTAATAAACAAAAGGAAAAGTATTTAGTGAAGGAATGTTCATTCCCAGCCCTGTAATATAACAAAACTGTACTTTGCATTCTTGAAGCAAGAAAATAATATGTATGAATTAGGAAAAAATCTACTATTCAGTCTGTTCCAGTAAATTGTATGTGTGGTTTCTGTCATACAGTGTTGCAGTTATTAATGGAGTGAAATGCTTTTCAGATAACAGCACATGAAAGCAGGAAAAATTGAGTAGACATTCTACTCAATGAAAGGCTGATGATGTAGTATGAGGAGTACTTCAGGTAACTGTTTAATCAGGATAGATGCTGCTTTTTGGAAGCAGAATTTTATCTAAATATGAATTTAGAGGTTGTTTTAGCTTATTAGTTTTTAGTTTATTAGATATTGCCATCTTCTGTAGATTTCTGTTGCTACAGATCTATAGCTGTGCCTATTGCATGAATCTTTGAATAATTTTACAGTACTTTTTTTTTCTATTACTAGAATTATTACATGGGATTTCATTGCACAGCCAGACACCTTACTGATGTACTATGTACTATCTGTGTTCTATGCAGTTGACTTCAGAAAGATACTTTTTACTGCAGTTTAAAGCCATAGTTCTTCTTGATTACTTGTCATACAGGAGGATTGATCAAAATATGTACAGGAGACTAGTTATGGAAAGTGAGTACCATTTGAATGTATATTTGTCCCAGGTCTAGAGAAATATGCACTAGTTACTTCACTGATGTATGAGTATGGCAAGAGTATTCGACAGTCAGGAAAGGAAGAATTGCTGTTAGAATTTTTTTTGCTATTGATGCTCTTAACTCAGAAATGCAGTGCTGCTTAACAAAATTATAGTGAACTCTCACCCTGAGAAATCCAATTCCTGTGGCTTCTTATTAGCAATCCTAATTCTTCACAGAAGAAACCACAAAAATGTTGCCTGTAAAAGAAACCACGGAAAATAAACAACAGCCACTAGACGTCATAGTAAAAGTTGCCCAATTGCAGTTAACACAGCAAAAAATACTCATGATAAGCTCCAAAACCTAATAGCCCCCTTCCTTCTACCCATAGAAAAGATGGATAAGGGTAAGTAATTATTTTGTAATAATATGTGATCTAATCTAATTCTGCCATTTTGCGATAATCCAAGAGAGTGGAAATACTGAGGATACAGATTCATCACCATCACTGAAACTTGAAGGAAACAGGACTCCAGTATGTGCTCTGGCTTTCTTAAAAGTATTTTCTGTTTGTATAGTGGTGCTGTTTGAAATATGTTAAAAAAGAAAAGAGTACTGTAAGTACTAGCTATCTATGACACAACATATAAAAAGGAAAAATTGCTTTGAGATTTATCAAATTTCATGTGACCTTTTTCCATCAGTATAATTTAAGAGTTAATTCATATCACTTCCTTAATTGAAAATGCTAGGAAGGAATGAGGATTGGAAAATACCGCATATACAGGAAAAATTGACAGAAAAGGCCAGCTACATAAAGATACTACCATTTTTTTTGAAGCAAAACATTTCTTTGGTAATATCAAAATATTACTTACTATTTTAATGGCTGTCACTGGCAATTAAATGGTATTAAAATAGATGTCATGAAAATACTTGAAAGCAATGTTCAAATACTTGAAAGCAATGACACTGTTTTGGAGTAGGATGAGTGAGGACATTAGTGAAAAGATAGATGTGAAAACAGTAAAACTCATAAACAGTTTAATACTGTAGTATATGAGAAAAGTCAGGTAAAAGAAACTGTGCAGATACATAATAATTGGAGTTTGATTATTTTACCCATTTGCTACTCTACTCATTAGTTTCCCTCAAACCATCTAGCTGGAAAATGCTGTCTGTCTTAC